CGCGTCTCTTCCAGATATCTTATGAATCCGGCACCTTCCCAGAAAACTGGAAATTTGCTCATGTACAGCCCATCCCAAAAAAAGGATCTAAAACCGACCCTTACAACTACAGGCCTATAGCTCTGCTTTCTGTTATAAGTAAAGTGTTGGAGAGGTGCATAAATCGCGAGCTTCTGGACTACCTCGAACGTCACAGCTTGATTAGCGACAGGCAGTACGGTTTCCGGCACCAACGATCCACAGGGGACCTCCTAGCTTACGTCACGCAACTGTGGAGTAAACTCATCCAGTCTCATGGTGAGGCTCATGTCGTTGCTCTTGACATCACGAAAGCGTTCGATCAGCTGTGGCACGCTGCCCTCTTGAGCAAACTTCCATTCTACGGCCTCCCAGAAAAGCTTTGCAGATGGGTGGCTGACTTTATCTCTGGCCGCAAGATATCCGTCGGAATTGACGGATTCTCCTCTTCATCCCACAACGTCAACGCGGGTGTTCCCCAGGGATCGGTCTTGGCTCCAACACTGTTTCTCTTACATATCAACGACCTCCTTTCCTGCACGATCAACCCAATCCACAGCTTCGCTGATGACAGCACTCTACATGCAGGAATTCAGAGTGACAAGCCGATCTCTGCCGCTGAGCTGGAAAAAAGAAGACTAGCGACGACTTCTTCTCTGACAAGAGACCTGGAGGCTATCACTGCTTGGGGACGCAACAATCTTGTACAGTTCAATGCTTCCAAAACCCAGTACTGTACTTTGACGAACAAAAAGCGTCCTAGCGCTCATACAGTTTCGATGGACGGTCGAGTCCTACCAAAGAGCCATTCATTTCGGCTGGTCGGAGTCCAGATCACCGAGGACCTGATCTGGCACGAACACATCTCTTCAATAGCTGCAGCTGCTGGGAAAAAGCTAGGCTATTTGTTTAGGGCTAAGAAGTACTTTTCTCCGCATGACCTTCTCACTCTATACAAGGCCCAGATAAGGCCTAGCCTCGAGTATTGCTCACACATTTGGGGTGCTGCCGCCCCGACTACATTGTCCATGCTCGATGCTGTCCAGAGGAGGGCGGCCCGACTGATCGATGACTCTTCTCTAACAGACAGTCTCGGGACTCTTTCGCACCGGCGGGCCGTCGGCGATCTAGCTCTTTTCTATCGCTACACCAACGGGCTTTGCTCCTCAGAGCTCTCTTCCATGATGCCGCCGCGCGATGTGCCTGCCAGACAGACCCGCCTGACTTCGGCGTCCCATCCTAACCGTGTCAAACTTCGTACATCCAGAACTGGCCGATACGACCGCTCCTTTGTCCCGAGGGTGTCTAGATTGTGGAACAAACTACGGGAGGAAGCTTTTCCCAGTTCTACTAACCTTAGGCAGTTCAAAAATCGTATTAACAAAATTTCTTTGGGATCATCATAGCAGCCGCGGTGTTCCGGCATTTAGGCTTCTGCCTGCGCGGCTGTTTCGATATATATATAAAAAAAAAAAAAAAAAAAAAAAAACTGCTGGTAGGAATACGACATTTTTGTATCGCATCAACAATGGCGGGGTTTGGCTTAATCCCCTCGGGAGTGGTAACGTGACTGAGAAATCCCACTTCTTTACAAAGAAATTCTGACTTATCTAATTGAATTTTAAGGTTATGTTATCTAAATGTTTTGAATACCATTTTTATGTGCTATAAATGTTCCTCAATTGATTTAGAAAAAATTACAACTTCATCCATATAGACAAAGCAATACTTATACAATAATTCTTTAAGAACATTATCCATCACCCTTTGAAAGGTAGATGGAGCGTTTTTTAGACCAAATGGCATTCTTACAGATTCATAATGTCCGTGGTCGACTGAAAATGCAGTTTTTTCTATTGATTGGGTGTCCATTTCAATTTGATGGAACCCCTGAGCCAAATCTAACGTTGTTTCCTCTATCCGTGGTAGCGGGTATTTATCATCTATTGTCTTATCATTTAACTTACGATAGTCTATCACAAGTCTCCATTTCTTCTGATCTGAAGCATCTAATTTATTTTTAACTACCCAACAGGGTGACGCATACGGTGAAATAGACGTCCTAATAATTTTGTTATCCAGTCATTTCTGAATCTGTTTTTAAATTTCAACTTTCAAATGATGTGGATATCTATACGATTTTTGGTAAACGGGAACATCGTCTGTTGTACGAATAGTATACTTAACATTATTTGTGAAGCTAAGGTCGGTATCCTCATGATAAAAGATGTCTTTGAATTGCTCACACAAATTTAAAATTCTCGTTTTTTCTTCGCTATTTAAATGTTGGGTACGAATCATTGAAGGAATGTCTACATTTTCGATAACCTTTTTCGGTTTTCTGATTTCGTACATTTGATGAGGTTCACATTCTACTGGTTCATGAAAATTGATATCTAAAGTTTCTTCAAAAGGTGCTCGGATTTTAACTATGAAATTCCGAGAAGTAGCTATGCAACTGGGTATAAAATATCTATCTAACTCTATGTTAGGAAGCACAGCAGGGCCGTTTTCTACTACTACGGGAATTTCCAAATAATTTGTCTGTGGCTTACTAAATAGAACAAATAAACTAGGATGTGTTTCCGTAATAAACGGTATTTTAGTTTTTCCTATTTGCAGAGTATTTGTTGTAAAATCTATTTTTGCACCTAATTTTGTCAATTCGCTTGCTCCTATTAAGCAGTCAAATTTGGAGTGCCAATTAACAATATGAAAATTTAGAGATTTCCTAATATTTAATATTTCCTATCTTTAAGCATAGGAAATCGGATATTCTCGAATCCTTCGGACACTGTGTTAAGAGCTTTAATATGGAAATTTTTATGAAATATAAATTCTGAAAAATAATTGATACGCAATATCTGGATTAATAACGCATGTTGACGCACCGCTACCTACGAGTACTAACATACTAATTCCTAAGCTGGGTATAATTATATATGGCAACGTGGATAAATTATGCACATTATTTATGTCACCTATGGATTGTCTTCGTCTTAGGCCGGGATAATAAAATTTTCTTCTAGGTTTAGTTGATCAAAAGTTTGATGTAAGTTTCAAAATTGTCGTAGTTAGTGGAACATTCATCTTGATTGTGACGTTCTTCAACAATATAAGACGGTTTTCCTGTATTTTGGAAATAGCTAGACCGATGTTGGATACTAGGGCGTATCGTTGAACGATCTACTGACATAGGAGTTGCAACACTTTGTAATCTTGGCTGATTGGGCTGAAAGGTGGGCCTAGAAAGTTTAACGGGATTTTGAGAGAAAAATGGGTCTAGGAAGGTTATTTTGCTGTGAGAATCTGCTTTGAGCATATGAATTAAAACGAGGGGTATTGAATGAATTGAAGTTTGGTCTCGTGGAAGGAATGTAATTCTGTATTCTCAATTGATTATTTTTGGCAGAAAATTCGGGTGGATACTGTGGGCGTAACCCACATATCTAAAATTTTCTGCATGTTGGCATTTATATAAAGCATCTTGTAAACTAGACACCTCGCATGTTTCAAAAATTAAACGAAATTGATCACATAAACCATTAATGAACCTATTTAATGCTTGATCCTGGTACATTTTTGCCATCACGCTAAATTCGTGTGAAGTATCATGTAGCCTGATATGCTGCAAAATTTTTTGTAACTGACCATTAATTCTATCAAAATATGTTTGATAATTTTCCTTAGGAAATTGGTACATTCGTGCCAATTCCTGTGCTAGAGAAGATTCGTTACGTTTGTCCACAAACCGTGAAACTAAAATTTAGTTCAATTCTCTCCAAGTAGAGTAGCTTGAATTATTAATTAAGTCACGTGCTTCACCTCTGATTTAATATTTAATAGCTTTGGAGTAAGTACAGTTTCGAAACTTTAGCGCCACCGAATTACTCTTTCTTCTAACACACGCTCCGTACGAGGGATCCCGGTTGAGCCCCCAATTATGTTTGCCATGGGCGAACGAGGGTTTTTAAAAAATAACTTTTATTTCCCGCTGATGAATCTAACTACCACTACAATAGTTGATGGCTATGTGATTACCAAACAAAAGGTACAACGGTTTTTATAAAGTCGTATAATGGGAATACACACGTAAGCTAATTCTTAAGAAGCATGGAGGACGTATCAGGTTGCATATATGAGATAATTCTAAGTTTTCTAACAACGGGAATAGAATGACACAAGATAACGCCAAGATGATGCAATATAATAATTATATTGTACAGAGTGAGCCAAAGTACATAACTCGCGGCATCGCATCGAACATGTGCGCCTGCAGCAATTCCTCTCAGGTGGAGGAGGAAAGTCATTTAATCTTTTGTTATACATGTTGTGCCAAACATAATCTTTTACGAACTGATGACAACGTATCGTGGGAAGTACAGAATCAACTTAAATGACGCCATTTTTTCATGTAATATTTCTATTATTTGTAAATAAGTATTTATTATATTTATTATAAATAATTACTCTCCGAAAGAATACTTTTGAAAAATATAAGCCTAACATATAAGAGACTGTTTTCGAATTATTTATAATTATTTTTGTTGAATTTAATTATTAAAAATGTAACTATATAAATATAAAATTGAATTAGTAGATGTTAGAAATATTTACTTTTGTGCTATTTATGCGAACTTCAATATTCATAAATTATATTAAAATAAAATAAAATACTCAATTTTCATATGGAGCTTTATCTCCGCACATAGTTCAGTTAGATTTGCTTACTTATTTCGTATGGCATTGATGCTGTTACCGCCAAAAACCGTAAAAAGAAGTTGTATCTTTGATCAATTGCCCCTACCGTTAAGCTTTAGTATTCGAACATTGGAGATATATCCGTCACTGCATGAAATAACTAATAGGTATTCGAACTTCGGAGTTTATAAGAGCACCGCAGACTTTGTAACAGCTGTCGAAAATCAAAAGCATTTCTTTCAAAACGCAGAGGCAACTACAATAAAGCATGTATTTTTTAGGAAATGTCCAAACGATGATATTACATTCTATCTGTATACCAAACGACAACCACAAACTGCAGAGTCTGTAATTCTAGGCTCTCGATTGTTAGAATCAAACTTGAGGGATACACACTTTGATCCTAGAAAACCGACAAAAATCATCATTCATGGATATAATTCTGATATGGATCTCAGTGCTTTAGTGGAAATCAGGAAAGGTACCTTCAAATTCATCACGTCACTAATACAATAAAGGCGAAACTACACAAGCCAGTAAAATAGCATGCCAGTAGCCAGTAATTTGCATGCTAACTACCTGTCCTTTGAGTTGTTCGAATAAACATGCTAGATTTGGATATGCCAGTATAGTGGTGGCATTAGCGACACAGTGCGTAGATTCCTTTATCTTCCTTAACTCTTGGTGATAAGTTGTTCTTAGGTTTTTTTACTTAATTTTTGATACATTTCAATGTTATCATTATTAATATGCTCTAATAAAGATTTATAAGCGTTATCTCCAGCGGTTTTATTTTTATACAGTGGAGATGATGTATCCCACAAACATTCGTCGGGTTACAAGCAAAGCACACTAAGGGCGTATGCACATAGAAAGCTGGCTACCGGCGCCGATCTACCAGCGCTTATCGGCGCTGGTCTGTTCCGGCAACCTCTACATAAAGCAAGCGGGTTTAAGCAGAAGCTCGCTGGCGTCTCTCCGTCTATGCTTTGTGTCTCTCTGAGCAGCGAGCAAACTGTCGAGCTCCTCAGATGAAGATATCTTTCTATTAGAAAATGTGTTTCTCAAAATGCGCAAACAAAGTGTACACCCCATAAATAGAAAAAGAAAAATTTACGGAGAATATCATCATTTATTTCAAGACATTAAAGCAGACAAACAAAGATTTTATAGATATACAAGAATGACTCCAGAAACATTTTACTACATTTTGGATAAAGTAGAACATCGATTGATAAAAAACTGGTGTAATTGGCATCAACAACCTATTCTCCCAGAAGAAAGACTTGTTGTTACCATTCGGTACGTATCAAACATTTTTAATTTAATTATCAGGGTATTCTGATAGGCCCTCAGCGAAAGACTGTAAATATGTGCTTATTGGCGCATGGAATGCTTTTGATACAGATTGAGTTGCGTGTGATTCTGGTGTGTGAGGTGTGATTGGCGGTGAGTAGAATGATTGTGCTTCCGGTTGAGTTGCTTGTAATTCTGGTGTATGGCGTGGGATTGGTGTTGAGTGGAATGGCTGTGCTGCTGATTGGGTTGTGTATGGTTCTGGTGTCTGACGTGTAGACTGAATTTCATGTGGTTCCGTAGAGCAGCTAGAGAGAGTTGAAGGTGAGAGTCGCGGGAACTGGGACTGGTATGCATAAATGTCAACTGTTCTTTGAATATCATTTCTAAGCGAAAGCAACCGCTCTTGTGGAATTTTACGAATATGAGGCAAAAGACTTTTCAGAAACAGTAGATGTTCATCGTCTTCAAGTTTTCTCGCTTTTTGTTCCAGGTATTCCAACTTTTTTCTTTCAATATCTAGCATACTTTGATTGAATGGGTTGGTTGTTTTTGTTTTGTTACGTGGAACTGAATTGGTGTCATTACTGTTTTCTTCTAGTGCATGATGTGTACTCGTATCATTGTCTTTACTGTCGTCGGAATTTTTAGTCTGTTCTACAGATCTGCTAGATGAAGCACGTTTCAACGATTTGGTTAAATTTCCTGAAGAATTTCTTGCTTTGACAATATCTTTCAGGAACATTAGGGAATAATAATATGGCCATTTCGGCTCATACGAAGTCGAAGCTTCATCTCCAGATCGAGGAGCAGGAACTTTCCCATATTCAGTCGCGAACTGATCCCTTAAATATTTCCATTTCTTCCTCAGTTTGTTTTCTGGAAAAAAACAGTCGTATTATTTCTTACAGGTATCTGGCAACAGGGGCAACATTTGCACATTTGGCTTCTGAATTTAGAATGGGTCTTTCCACAATAAAGGATATTATAGAAGAAACAACGAATGTATTGTGGGATGAATTACATCCAGTACACATGCCCATACCTACTAAGGAGGCTTTTCGTGCAATAGCAAATGACTTCAACAATATTTGGAATTTTCCAAATGTTTTAGGGGCAATCGACGGAAAGCATGTGCGCATACTCTGTCCAGATGGATCAGGGTCCATGTTTTACAATTACAAAAAATATTTTTCTGTCGTGTTACAAGCAGTCGCAGATGCAAACTATAAATTTATAACAATTGATATCGGCGGGTTTGGTAAACAAAGCGACGGTGGAACATTCAAGGCTTCAGAACTATACCAACGTTTAAGTACTGGGCAGATGGATATTCCAGAAGCAGAATATTTACCAGGAACAAATGTGAAAACACCATATGTTTTTCTAGGTGATGAAGCGTATCCTCTGCTGAGATACCTACTAAAACCTTTCGGAGGCAGAAATTTGCCTTCAGAACAACGCAACTTTAATAAACGTCTATCAAGAGCTAGAAAAACTATAGAGTGTGCGTTTGGTATAGTAAATTCGAAATGGCGATTGCTTTCCAAATGTATTGAAACCAATATTGATGTAGCTGACCAAATCGTTAAGTGTATATGTGTTTTACATAACACTATCATTGATAAAGAAGGTATCAACCGTAACTTAACTCCTGTTCATTTAGTACGAAGAAGGTGGAATAACTCAGGGCACGACTCAAATGAGGCAATGGATATCAGAAATATTTACGTCAATTATTTTTTACATAACTCACTAGCTTACAATAATTAAGTGTTTATTGTTAATAAATTCAATAAGTAAATAAACTCACCGTCTACATCCATCTCGGCACTTATTTCCCTCCAGCATTTATCCACCACGTATCTGTTTGAATGCGTGTTGTCTCTTTTATCCCAAACAGGTGGTTTACTAAAAACTAACGAAATCAGTATATCAATATCCATATTATTAAACGCGGTGTTGTTCCCTTGAAAATTAAGCCGCAAATGGCAGTTTACCAGCGCTTATCGGCGCAGGTCGGAACCGGTCAAAACTTGTCAGCGCCGTTCGGCGCTTATCGGCGCTGTTTCGACACAAAGTATAGAAACTGCCTGCGCCGGCTGCCTGCGCGCACCGGTTCCGATAAGCGCTGCTAGATCGGCGCCGGTAACCAGCTTTCTATGTGCATACGCCCTAAGTCAATTTTTTTAAATTTTGAGTTTTATACCATCTGGTCACAGTTCATAAAATTTCTTTATGGTAAACCCACTAAGTCAATTGAAAACTTCTTAGTACATTATTATGGCAAAAATCATATTACCATTAAGTCACTAATAACGTATTTTGTTATGGCAAAATACACTAACTGACTTAATTGGCATTTCTTGTAAGCATTTTGTACAGACACCATGCAAAATGCTGACTTAATGTATTTTATTGGATAAAAAAATAACTTGTATGGACCTGCAAAAATATCTTCATTTTAGATTGGAATTGCTATGAGACGGTTTAGTTTTCCTTCTGTAGTGTTTGAGCGAGGTGCATAACTGCATAATGCAAGGCCTTCGAGTTGGTAGAGAAATATTGAAAAGAAAAAAAGAAGCCAAGGTCAACCCCATAAAAGCGTAGCACAGAAAAATATAAAATCTCAAAGTGTCGTTATAAATGTACGATACATTTCTCCGAATATGAACGTAAAGTACTGTGCCAGAATTTTTGGAATCTAGAATACTTAAGGCATAAAGATTTCATACTTATGAACGTCTTATCAAAAGAAGTCAAATATCGGCTGCATAGAAAAGAAGAAGAAAGTAAACTAAGAAGTAACGCAAAGTCATATTTTTTTTCTAAAATGTGAGTTAAGCTTCAAGTTTGTCAGTCATTCTTTTACAAAACTTTATGTATTTCAAACATTCCGTTCTTAAATGCATTTCAAAATAGGAGTGAAACTGGAGAGTGCGGTGGTACAGACAAGATAGGTCAAAAAGCTCCAGCGAATAAACCACCAGAAGACGTAATAAGAAGAATAAAAGGACACATTGAAAGATTTCCTGTCCTCGAATTACACAAGAAAATCTACTAAACGGATCTATTTAGATCCTAATCTTAATATTAAGAAATGTTTGATTATTTATGGAGGAATGTAAAAAAATCAATTGACGGGAGTAAGTCTAATTACCTATAGAAGACTATTTTTCACCCAAAGCAATCTATCATTTTTTAAACAAAAAAAGGCCAATGTTCCACTTGCCATAAATATCAACAAGCTGTGGATAAAGAAAGTCAAAGTACCAGAATCACTAGAGAAGGAAAGAAGAGTCTATGAAAGAAAAAGATAAAGATAAGAAGAAGGTAACTGGTGATAAAAGTTTTAAATCTATAACATATGATCTGCAACGTGCTCCAACTCCCGACATCACAAGTTAGTTTATTGTACTATCTTCGTAAACTTAACTTGTATCATTTCACAATTTATGAATCTGCTCTACCAAACGAGGCATTTGTTACTTTTGGACAGAAATAAATGGGAAACGCGGCAGCTGTGAAATTAGTACCTGCTTATCATTATACTTAAAATCATTGCCTCCAGAGGTGAAGCATTTAACTATTTTTTCCGACACATGTGGAGGTCAAAACAGAAATGTGCAGATCACAGCTCTTGTCTTAAATATTTTGAGAGTACACCCAACACTTTGTGTTATCGAACAAAAGTTTATGGAAAGTGGACATTCCTATATGGAGGTGGACTCGATGCACAGCTCGATTGAGTCAGCTAAACGTCATATCGATATCTACTGTGAGAATGTATTCAAAATGGCAAGGGTTGGTAGAAATCGTGGTGCATTCCCTTATAAAAGACGAGAATTGCAATTCGACGAGTTTTTGGATTTTACTATAAAGAACAAAAATGAAGACCAAACGGGGATTACTGTTAACTGGTTAAAAGTGAAATGCTTCAAATATGATAGGCAGTTCCTAAACAAACTATAAGTATGGTTTTGGCGATGAGTGTATGAACAAATTAATATTGGATTCACCAGGCGAGCTTCGAATAGCAAGATTAAAGAAAGAAGCTTTGAAGGCATAATTATTCCGCCGTTATATCGAAGACAATTACCGATCTGGGCTGCTAAGAAAAAAGATATTCTCAAGCTTTGCGACAGAAGCATTATTCCGCCGACACTACGTTACTGGTATAAAAATTTGCCTCGTTCATCTTCTGTTTTAGATGTAACACCCGAAACAGCTGGAAATGATGAACCAGAAGAGGAAAACATGAACTAGTCCAGTTTTATTTACAATAGTTTTAAGGATTTTGACTTTGTTTTCAATACTATGCCTACATTATTAACTATCCTCCAATGCAAAGTGTTCTCAATTTTGATAATACAGAAATTAAAATAAATACAATTTCATATAAAAATACAGGTAAAATACACTAACTCAATCCTTACATGGAAAATACATTAAGTCAGCGTATCTTTTAGCAATAACCCCTAATAAAATGATTTTGAAAAGTCAAATTCTACTGTTTATCCAATCTTATTACTCCATATACGCGAGAAATACATTTTAAATGTATAAAATACCAAATTAATTTCAAGACATGTTGATATACAAGAAAATGAAAAATAAAAATCTTTCAAGCGAAATTACTCAAGTACATTTGTAGACACATATTTTGCTTGTAACCGACGCATTGATACTTCCTATACTGCATAATAAACAATAAAGTCTTCTAGCATGATTTCTAACTGGCTGCGAGAGTCACTCGTGCAAGTGACTGGCATGCTTCTATGGTGTAGCTGGTATGTGTATTCTCGCCTTGATATATTCATAGCAAACATAGATTGGTGGTGCATATCGCCTCGATTTGAGTGTTATTAGTATTTTTATGGAAAGTTATCTCTATATTACCAGCCTTTAGTGCTGTGTTATATGCATAGATTCTAGTTCAAGAACTATTTACTAAGAGTTTGGGGATATAATTTTATTACCGCAGTCCCAGCAACCATTGTATAGATTTTAGTTAATACTGAGTCAGTAATAAATTTATAAGCCTGGTAGTGATGAAAATTCTATTTTAAATCTGCCTATACTTTGGATCAAAAATGCACAATGTATTTTTTCAGAATATTTAAAAACACAGGATAATAATATTTTTACGGTTGACTGGAGTCCCTTAGCTCAAGGTCCATGTTACCCGGGAGCACTGTGGAACATTAGACATGTTGGAAAATGTTCTGCGCAGCTAGTGGAAAGGATCAGAGAATTTGGAGCAGAGGATATACATGTTATTGGTTTCAGTTTAGGTAGGTATGGTTTCTACGTGGTTCATGGTGTATTATATGAAGTTTTTCATGCAATCTTATCTCCAAACAGTATTGAAATTTGGGAGTTATGATCGAAAAATGATATAGCATAAATGCCCGCCTTTTCAATTTGCGCATGCCTGAGCCCTAGATTACGTTTTCCATCACTTTTTCCTCACAGAAAAACTTCTGAGGCAATTGAATCTAGAGATCTTGAGGGTCTTATTTATAGACCTTCCTTTTTCCTTGAGGCGCGAGGCTTCCTTCGAAATAATGGACATCTCCCTGGAAACCCTGAAACAATGACACTTCCTTAAGGAACGTTCAAGGGAGGATTTAAATTTTCATTTCGCATGTCATGGATGTGAGAAATATTTTTCTCTGCTGACCGTATCTATTTAGCATTTGATGATAAAAATGAGACGATTTGGTTTATTCCTGCTAAATATCAATTTGACCTCCTCACTATACGAGTATACAAGGCACATTTGGGGTGCTGCCCCCCCGACTACATTATGTATGTTCGATGCTGTCCAGAGGAGGGCCGACTAATCAATAGCTCTTCTCTAACAGACAGTTTCGGGACCCTTTCGGACCGGCGGCCGTCGTGGCCCCAACAGGCTTTTCTCCTCAGAACTCTCCTCCATTATACCGCCGCGCGATGTGCCTGCCAGACAGACCCGCCTGACTTCGGCCTTTCATCCTAACCGTGTCGAACTTCGTACATATAGAACTGGTCGTTACGACCCCTCCTTTGCCTCGAGGCAGTCGAGATTGTGGAACAATCTATAAGGGGAGGCTTTTCCCAGTGCTACTAACCTTACACAGCTCAAATATCGCGTAAAAAAATTATTTGGGATCCTCATAGCAGCCCTGGCATTTAGGCTTCTGTATACGCGGCTGCCTCGGTATATAAAAACCATCCCTTTGAATCTGTCTAGTATTTCTTTCAAATGCTACTTCTTCTTCTCGCTAAACTCCTGTTTTTAATTGTCACACATTATAATTTATAATAATGTAAAATTTGGGTATAAAAATATATGCTTTTCTGTGAAACCAAACGGTTGCCTATATTCAGTTTTTTACTTCTCGTGATTGCGCTGTAATTCTAGGAAGCAAACACATTATTAGTTTGCATTTTTTATTGCAAATAAGCCAAGTCGTCCCAATTTTATCTCCAAAATGCTGAATATAGGGCTAGCAAAGAAAAACCTTTCTTAGATCAATGGCAGCTTGTGATAACTACTGTGAAATGAATGTTTTACATCCTCCCTTGAACGTTCCTCAAGAAAGCGCCGTTGTTTCACTGTTTCCAAGGAGATATCTGATATCCATTGTTTCCAAGGAAGTCTCACACCTCAAGGAAGGTACAGGTATATAAATCTGACTCCAAATATCCTAAACATATTCTTCGCAAAACATATTTATCATTTCAGTAACTTTGCGATACGTTACCGGAACCACATTTCTTGCAGGTTAAGGTTCAGAATTTTAGTGACCACACAGTTTTGCATTATATGTGATAACGCTCATCACTGATACGTTGTAAGGAAACTCGCACTCTTCAAGAAGGCGGCTTGTGCGGCTATCAGAGGCGGCATTTATATATCATTATTAATACATAGCGACCAATTTTCGATAAAAGATTAGAATAAAAAAGTAGCACTGCTTCAATTCATTTTAAAGACCTTGGTAGAAAAAATCAGCCAGTTTTATGTTGGCAACCCAGTATAAACATTAAAATCTGAATCTGCAATTATCCATCCACTATATAGTCACGCATATGGAGATCAACTTTATGAGTAGCCCTAGTGTATCTTTGTTCAAATTCTATAAATCGTGATAATGGAGCACATTATAATTTTACTTTCTGCACAACAAAGGATAAAGCTGCCGAAAGGTAATTTGGGATTTTGTTTTCAAAATATCAGTATGTTTCTGTCAACCCTTTGTAATTGATGACTCCAAGGTATCTGACAGATTGTTCCCATGGTATACGAGTTCCATTCACTGATATCTCTGCTGGGACGCGACGTTTTTTAATACAATAGATTGCCTGCGTTTTCGAAGTATTAATTTTGATCTGCCACCGATCCGCCCACTCCAACGACTGGGCTAGCAGTGCAATGTCGTCAGCATAGAGATAGACTTCACAGTGGCTGGGGCAAGGGACGTCATGTATATAAAGTGAATAAAGGATTGGCCCTAAGACCGAACCCTGAGGAACACCAGCTCTTACGCCGTGTTGTTGACCAAACATTGTTAATTTTGATCCTGCTAGAAAAGATTCCAACAGTTTTAGTAGCCAATATGAAAAGCCCTTTGGGATGAGTTTTTACAAGAGGCCCATGTGCCACACCTTGTCGAATGCCTTTGATACATTTAAAAGCAAGATACCAGTACTTTTGTTGAGGGTGAACTCCCTGGTTACATGCTCCACCAGTCTAACTGCCTGTAGCTCCATACTATGCTCAGAACGAATGCCGCATTGCACGTCAGGAATCACTTGGTGATCTGAAGAGAAATTTTTAAGGTGACGATAAATCACATTTTCAGCGAGCTTTGAAGGAGCTGACAGCAGGCTAATGGGACGGTAATCCTGGGGGAATATCGAACCTACCTTCTTTGGGATCATGATGACTCCAGCAATCTTCCACGCTTTAGGAAAGTACCGAGTTCTGAGCATTGCATTGACTATTGCCACCAGATAAGTCAAAGCCTTGAGCGGAAGCAACTTCAGTGCTTTGTTGGTGATTTGATCCTCTCCAGGTGCTTTACGCACCTTTAGGTCCTTCGAGCTCTGCTGGTGTGCAAAATGGAATCACAGAAGATTCTGGTGATGTGCTATGCAGAGATTCATCTGAAGAATCTTCCGTAGAAGAATCTTCTGAAAAGGAATCACCGATGTTAGCACAGACATTATTGTCGCCAATTGCTCTGAAATATCTCATGACAGATCTTACAATTTGTCGTTCCTCGTCAAGGTCTTTGTCTACATCATAATTGGAGGAGAATTGCCTTTCCATGACGTCAGCAAAAACCTCCACTTTATCCTCAGTCCTGAAATGACTTGTATAGTTCCCAATCAACTCTTTTATTTGGAGGAGTTTCCTCCTGCATGAAATGCCCATTACCTACCTCCAGCACCACAGGTAGATGGCCACTAGAGATGTCGTACAAGATCCTAGAAGCAATACTGAATCTGAAGTTTTTAAATATTGCAAAGTCTATAGCATCTAGTGCCTGAAAAGATGGTGTGTCGGCTCTTCGGAGCTGTGAATAAGATACCCTTTTTGCAACACAGGGTTGTAAAGCCGAACCCCACAAGTAGAGTTAAGCCTTGAGTGCCAGGATCGGTGTTTGCAGTTGTAGTCCCCTGCAGCAATAAGCGACTTCCAAGTCCCCTCTCGCCATACTGACCACCACGGAAGCCGCTTCAATGATTTGCATCTCGGCGTTTGTGCTTCTGTGATAGACAATACCACGTTTAACGAGCAAAGCCAAGCCACCAGCCTTACCATTAAATCTGTGAGCGAGTATAACATCATAATTCGAGAAAGTTAAACGATCTCCCAGATTCAATGGCTGATTAAAGATCGCCTGCGTGTTCAAAGTGGGTTGAACAGAAAGGGCGAAAATGCTTCCGCGTATGACTTGCTGCGTCTTTGCGCTATAACTTCCAGATTTCTTCTGGGGGTGAATCTGCAAGTGGGACTCTTAGCGGGATTCGCCACTCCACAATTCACACGCCTTAGCTCCTCTTGTCCTGTGAGGGGGCATAAATGTGTCATGTAGTCGGAAGTCCAATTTAAACATTTGATAGGTGCTGTGCAGTAAGACTGCGCATGACCATACCTTTGGCAGCGGTGACACTGCCCAATAAACTTCAACTCTGATTGATATACCCAGAAGCTCATATTCATTGAACAGCTGCTGGGAATTTTCGACCTTGGGCTGTAACACGACCACCAAAGGCATGGGTGCAAGGCCACTGCGTTTGAGTCGGATAATGTGGAGAGGAGTATATCCTCTCTGTTCTAATTCTCCTTTGATGTCCTATTCCGAAAAGTTTGCGGGTATACCTCTGACTACCGCGTGAGTATTTCCTTCTGAAGGAAGAGGGAACGTATGATGGGGCTCTCTGAACAGGCGAATGATCCTGCGGGAGTCATCCTCAGTTTTCTGCAAAACCCTGATTCCCGCATCAACGGCAACTGCGCGTTCTATTTTAATGGCTAAGCTTATAAAGGAGTAGTTTAGATTTTGCCACTTGACCGCATCACGCAAAACAATAGGCGTGATTCGTCCCTGGTATGGTGCTGAGCTGGTCAACTCACTAGCAACGTGAGATTGTTGAGATAATGCACCGTCAATAGATGCAATGGCCAATGATTGAGATGTGGTCGCTGCATCGACTGGCATAGGACAAGTTGCAGATGAAGTTGATATATTTAATGAAGCAGACGGTTTTGACGGGACTGTCAATTTAAATTTCGATTTTGCTTTTGGAAGAGGTGGAAAGTCATCCGTCTTGTCCGTTTTGTAGCTGCGTCTTGTCCTAGACTTGGCCTGGATTAATCTGTCGTTCTGTAATACATCGTCGGTCAATGTCATGTTATCAGTCAAATTTTCAAAAGGTCTTTTTAAATTCACAGCCTTGTCAGATCTGGAATTAAAATTCTAATTATTAATTAACTGTGTTACCTGGGTGGCCAGGCAGTTTATTTCACAGTTTTGCTCCTCAACTATCTCCGATAGATCATTTACTTGCTGGGCCTAGCTTTCGATGATCAGGGTCAGGCGCTGGATGGTTCTGTCCATTTCGAATACTACAGCTGATATCATCAATTTCTTTGATTTCATCGTAACTTCTGTTCTCTCTGGCTAGGTTCATTCATCATCAGGGACGCTGGGGGATCATTGCTTTGACTTCCAGAGTCTATCTCCATGTGTTTAAACCGGTTTTGTCATTGAAAAACTTTAAAACTTTCACGAGCAAAAATATAACGTTTTGTCTATTATCCTTTATACAGGGCGATTATACGAGTATATAGAGTATGACGAATGATTCACTGGAGAATTACCTACCTTCACGTGGCTTCAGTCTGCGGACTGTTATTTGATTATGAGCAACGGAACCCAGCGAAAGAGTTTCCCTTTTCTTTTCTTCTTCTTTTTCATGTTTGTCTGGTCGAGTCAAACAGGACCTTTGTTTAAAGTACGTTAGTCGAATCTGTCAGTTCTGGTTGTCCAGAAACCAGAAAATGTCAAGGAGAAGAAGAAGGGGAAATATAAGAAAAAAGGAAGTGTATCAGTTTAAGAGGAAATACCTAGGCTTTTCGACTTGGTACACGGTAATTTTGAGGCGAACTAAAAACAAATTTTGATTAAGGTTTTGTTAGAGTGTAGTTTTGGGTTTACTAAGAGTGCGCTAATTTGTGATCATGGTACCAGCATTGGCCTTAAAGGTTTACGAACTTTCTCCACTGTTATACTCCAATGAGACACGCAACAAGGGGTTGCTGTGCGATTCCGCTTGACTATAACGTCCCTGCGCCTGAAGCGTGACATAATTCCTCAAGTATGGAGTTTCAAGGTCTCAATGAAGTGTCTCATTTGAGACATACCATGCAGCGTTGCAAATTGTTCGTAAAGTGCTATTTTGCAGTACTTGAAGACTTTGCATGTGTGTCTTGGCAAGAGAACACTAAGCCGCACATGCATAAGTAATGGCTGGTCTAATAATCATTTTATATAGTCGAACTTTGTTTATCAAACTCAATTTGGAAGGCCTACTTACCAAAAGACATTGCCGAAACGCAATATGGATTTTGTTTTCAACGTTGCTGCATGTTTCTGCCAGGTAATGCCTTCATCAAGGGTGGCACCGAGTTACTTGGCAAAATTTTTCTTTAGTATTCGATTTCTATCTACCGAAACCTTGGGAAACGCTGACCTTCAAGTATAATAACACTTTTTTGACACTATATTGTATTTATATGTCTTCCAGGTGACATTTCGATTCTTTTGTCCTTTCATTTTTACATTTCTACAGGGTGTTCAGTAAATAGTACGACAAAAATAGGGACGATAGGCGAAGGGCAGATTTATAACATAAAAAAAATGACCCCAGTAAAACTGTCAGTGTTTTTGAGATATTAACTTTATGTCTCTTTTGCTGCTGTGCCTAGAAATAACTAAATAACAGGATATTTGTTTGTTTGTTTTTTTGCTAAATATTCTCAGATAGTTGGTCTGCCATTTGAAATATCATTTTCGATGAATACAAAGGTAAACTTGACAAACTAACGTCTTCTTCGTAATTTTTATTTTAGAAAACTATTTTACTCAACTTTGGTATTCAGCAATGGAATAAAAATTTACTAGACTGCTGCTGCAAAGTACTGCGATAAATTATCTGCTTAATCAGCAACAAAAAGTAGATCAAAGGAGGAAATATTTCGAAAAAGACAAAAAAAATAATATCTCAAAAACAATGAAACTTTTACTAGGGTAATTTTTGGTATGTTGTAGATCTTTCGTCATATGTAGCAGTCGAAGATTGCATAGGAACAATCGGCCGGTGTATTACAAACAGTTCTGGGTAGGTTATCGGAGTTCCTTAGGCGTTGTAGGTTGTAGGGATCATGGATGAGGGTGACAGAAAAATAAAATATATTGTCAAAAAAATGTCAATTATACTTGAAGAAGGTCACCGTTGCGACCAAATCGTCATATAATAAAGAGAAAGTTTTAACATATGAGGTTTGATTCGGCCAGGCAAACGTAGCAGAGTGTCAACATAAAAACCACAGAATAAGTTTATTTATACAAACTCGCATATACAGGATGATTTTAAATGAGTTATCTCCGAAAATTATAGGCCGGTATACGCTCCTTCCTTGAAGAACATGTCGCTCTCTACAAGGTGAAAAGAACTTTAATATAACATGCTGTACAGTTTGGATTATTACTACTGGAGTTACCGGATATTTTGTCCGGAGAACACTCAACTTTAACAGCTTGTGAGTCAGAATGGGCTTCATATCCCATTGTAATGTCAATCGGGATATGAAGCCCAGCTTGTCATTCAAACGTTTATTTTAAATCGTCTATAGCGTGTTTATAAATGTCAAATGTACTTTTTCTCAAAAATTGTTTACGGTTTCAGCTATCTTTTTACAAGCTCTATTTTGGTATAGTCTTTTTGAAGGGTTAAATCATTTGCCCTTTCCTAGAAATTGCAATTATAAAATAAATAAATATATTATTCCTGGAAAGAGAGGATTTTCAGTGGGTGGGTACAAGCCTTCATAGAAATTGCCATCCACTAAAAATCCTCGCTCTCCATGAATCGTGTTATTTATTCCAAATTGAATATTTTATACCAAAATAAGTCTTATAAGAAGAATGACCCACAACTGAAAAAATATACAGGGCGTTCCATTTGAATTATCTGAGAAAAAGCACATTCTGCATTTATAAACATCCTATATACAATGCAAAGCATTTAAAAAACGTCTAAATGACTAAAGACTATGGGCATATGAAAGTAATTTTGAAGAAAAGGTTGCTGCTCTATCTGAAAGAAATCACAGACCTACAATCTGACAAGGTTGGGAGTTTTTCCGGGCAAAATATCCCGTAGCTCGAGAAGTAGCAATCGAAACCATATAATGGGTGATTTTTTTGCTAGTATCTTTTTGGCAACACTGTTTTTGACAGATGAGGCGTGAATCGTGTCTTGTGTCATTGTCAAATTTGTTCAGTTTGGTCTATAATTTAACCATGAATCGACTTACGAACGAACAACGCTTGCAAATTATTGAATTTTACTATCAAAATTCATGCTCGGTTAAGAGAGTGCATCGAGCACTGCTTCCAATTTATGGGCAATTCGGTCGGCCTACTGAGGTAGCTATTCGGAAGCTTGTGACTAAATTTCGAACCCAGTTTACATTATTGGACATTAAACCACCAACACGCAGACGTACAGTGAGGACTGAAGAAAATATTGCGGCTGTATCCGCCAGTGTTAGTGATGACCGTGAAATGTCGATTCGCCGCCGTTCGCAGCCATTGGGTGTAAAACCTTATAAGATACAGCTGGTGCAAGAACTGAAGCCACACGACCTCCCACAACGTTTCCAATTTGGTGAATGGGCGCTGGCAAAGTTGGAGGAAGATCCACATTTTTATCGAAAAATTGTGTTCAGCGACGAAGCTCATTTCTGGTTGAATGGGTACGTTAACAAGCAAAATTGCCGCATCTGGAGTGAAGACCAGCCAGAAGCATTGCAAGAGCTACCAATGCATCCCGACAAAATCACTGTTTGGTGTGGATTATGGGCCGCTGGCATTATCGGGTCGCACTTCTTCAAAGACGACAATGGCCGGAACGTAACTGTGAATGGCGAGCGCTACCGTGCGATGATAACAAACTTTTTTTTTGCCTAAAATGGAAGAGCTGGACTTGGCTGACATGTGGTTTCAACAAGACGGTGCCACATGCCACACCGCACACGAAACAATGGCCCTATTGAGAGGCGAGTTCGGTGAACAGTTTATCTCACGTTTGGGGCCCGTCAATTGGCCGCCTAGATCGTGTGATTTAACGCCGTTGGACTATTTCTTGTCGGGCCATGTTAAGGCTAATGTCTACAGGGATAAACCAGCAACGATTGACGCACTAGAAGCCAATATTGAAGCATTTATTCGTGACATACCGGCCAATATGTTGGAGAGAGTGTGCCAAAATTGGACCTTGCGCATGGGCTATCTAAAGCGGAGCCGCGGCCAACATTTACATGAAATAATCTTTAAACATTAAATTATATCGACCGTTCTATCGACTCAAATAAAGATTTAATCGTTTTTTCAAATTTTTTGTGTTTTTTTTTTTGAAAATCAAATCCTATACCTCTTAAAAAATCACCCGTTAATATCAATCTTCTTCATCTAGAAGAGTCTTTCAGAATATACTAAAATATACAGGGTATTCCCTTCAAAAAATGTATGTCTGTGTTTCCATGTAGTTGTATGAATCATCCTGTACGGAGGGGCATATTTTACAAGTAACGTGCGTATAGCACAATTTTTGTAGATACTTTTTTGAAAATATATTATAACAACGGCGCTAGCAACCGAGCACACAACAAAAATTCACCCTGTATATTAAAATGCAAACTGATAGATCGACAGAAGCATGGCTACGTGAGGTGACAATTAAATATACTCGTATATCTCTTCCTTGCAGAAGCAGGGTTCCACATGTTGCTCACATATCCTCTGTTTACGTAATAGCTCGAAACCTCACGTGAAACGACAATAAAGATGTGATTTTCATTTCTAGGCGCTCACGTTGCCAATTTCCTGGCCATTTCTCTCCGGCCTTACCTCCTACCTCGGATCACTGGACTGGATCCAGCCCTGCCTGGATTTGTAACTGCTAATACAGATGAAAAATTAGATAAATCGGATGCACACTTTGTCGACGTGTATCACACAAACGCTTTTATGCAGGGCAAAGCTGAGGAGAGCGGACATGTCGACTTTTATGTCAATGGAGGTGTACTACAGCCTGGATGTTGGGCCGAACCCAGTAAGTTAATGTAAATTCGGTAATGCAGCTGATTTTATTTTACTGCACTCCAATCTAAATAAAAAAAAGTTCCTATAAATATAGATCTAAAGATGCTCTCCTACTAAGATACAGGATGGTGAATTTATTTACGAAATTGATAAAAAAAAATACTTTTACGGAGCGGGTAAAGATACTGAGTTAAGATTTTGGACGTTCAGTGAGCACATCATAAGCAGAGCTTCCCGGTCCAAACTGAACCAGGGGCGTAGTAGAAAGTGGCATACCTGGCCCCCCAATTAGGGTTATAAAATACCATTTAGTTTCCATGAATTTTTTACGTGGTTATTTATTTATTTATGAGGGAATAAAAAATAATACTGAATAAATGCTGTAACTTCCAACCTAAAGGAGGTCACCACCTGAACTTTCAACACAAGTCCGTGCTCTATGCCACAAAGACTCTCTGACTCTTTGGAAAATACCTGACGTAGTACGAACACCGTTGAAAGCTATACTTCGTCCTCATACTTCATGTCCGTGGATGCTAACCATTTATGATATCGTCTTTGTCGAGTTTACCTAATCCGATATGATGAAGAATTTTGAGAAAAAAGGCCGTAAAATAAGAATTTTACTCAAATTGATTGGTTCCACAAATACTAGTTGTGATCTTAGACAAATAGAAGAATCTAACATGGGTAATACGAGAATACCTTGAAAACCAGTGGCGTGCATATTCAAGGTTTAATTAATATTTACGTTCTACGCTACTGATAGAGGATAAGACACGTATATTATTGAATGTTGTAATGAGGCGCTATTGGTTTCTTCACATGCCATATAGTGTTTCCAATATCAAACTTCACGGTGTTTTCAGAATACGGGAGGCTAAACTTTTTCATAGGAATATTTTAGGATTTTACCTCAAAAATTCAAACCTATATATCTCAAAATCGACTGATCTGACAAAAATTCCTCAAAAGACAAAAGTTATGGAAAATTCAATGGTATGTTATAAAATGTACTTTTTTCTCCGAAAAAGCCAGTGGCGTAGACAATATTTCCTATTAGGGGTCCAGGTACCCCAGTTTCTACGCCCCTAGTTTAGTTTGGGTCGGGAAACTCTGTGTTTATTGCTGGTAATGTGTTAAATGAACGTCCAAAACCCTAACTCTCTACCCGTATCCATACCCGCTCCGTATATATAATGTATGTAAGTTCCGTAAATAAAAATTCATCACCCAGTATGTATCTTGGTTTGGGGGAGCATCTTTGGAACCATATCAATAGTAGCTTTCTTTGTTATTTTTGGACGAACATAAATATGTTCACATCTTTCTGAAACACCATGTTTGTATAGGTTGAGCTTTTACTTTGTAATTGGCCAATAGCTCCTTTATGATATATCTAAAAAAGTTTTTACAAAAATTATAGGCAAATAAAGGTACCCTACTTATTTGGAAACTACCCTGCTCACTACAATGTCATTAATAATTTTTCACGGTTTCAGGCAGCATTTACGTCACAGTGTGATACGTAATAAGTAAATAGCTGCTACTCGCTTTTGCACACATACATTTTTAATCCTAATCCTTGATCCTAATCTATTATTGTCAGTGTCACCAGCCCCCACATGGGCGTACAATTTTGAATTTACCTTTTATATTCGTAATAAAAAACAGCAGTATCTGAAAATAAAACTAGCAGACAATATCGATAGTTTTTGTCAGAATGATTGGAGTATTGTAGGAAATGCAAAATTAAATCAATCAAAGCATGTGTGCAAGAGCAGCACCGTTTAAGATTCTGTTTGTCCAAGTGTGCAATTTTCCTATGAAGCTTCACCTACGTGTATGATTTAGTTAGTCCATTTGCTTACGGTCAAAAGAACTATACATGCATAGGATGATTGAAGACCGTTATCACTCGCCAATAAATTCAACGAAGACTGCCGACATTGTAGTTATTTCTCCAGGCATTGCTTTGTTTTATATCGAAGATCAACTAAAGTGAATTCAAATCGACGCCCATAATAAGCAAGTTGTCATACTGTCAGTGATAAGCATAAATATGGATGAGTCATAATACGTTTGCAAAAAAATGTTCAACACGGTTAGACAAAACTGAAAAAGGTATGTCTGTTAGCATCCACAAACAAACGTCCACGCATAAAGAGACCGATTGCATATGAAAGTGTGAGCGAGATAGGTGTATGAAAGTAATTTCTGGTGTTTTGCTGTGACCCACCAAAAACCGTGAAAAGACTTATACGTGTCAATATAAGCATGCATTTTTAAATTGAATGCCATGTATAGTTTAGCATATTCTTTTCATAAGAAGAATTTCGATATAGCATACTATAGGGCTTAGACTTCTACATCAAGATCTACGGGATATTTTGTCAGAAAAAAAAATTACTCAAATTTGACAGCTTTTGTAAATAACTTCTCGTTAAAATGAGCTTCATACCTGATAGTTTGCTGTCGTTTTTCAAAGGTTGTGCCTCATCGATGCAAAAATGTGAATGGAACACCCTGTATATTTTTGTAGTTTTGGATTATTCGTGCTCATATTTGGTATAACATTATGGTAGGGTTAAATTACTAGTATTATTCAGAATTTACAATTTAAAATAAATTAACATCACATGATTCGTGAAAAGGAAGGGTTTTTGTGGATCCTCTCTTTCCTTATCTGTTATTAATTTATTTTGAATTGTAATTTCTGGGAAACTGCAAGTAACTCAAGAAATTAGTAATTTAGTCTCTAAAAATTGTGTACCAAAAAATAAAGGTTTTAAACAAGATAATCCAAAACAACAAAAATATCATGGATATTCAATTTAAATTTATTGAGAAAATATTCATTCTCAGGACATGAAGTTTGCCTCTCAATTTACATAAGTGATTAACTTACAAGCTCTCAAAATTGAGCGTTTTTTCACAGTATATCCGGTACAGGATCTTCCATTTAAAAATGCATGGTTATGTTGCTTCGTAGTTACCAATTATCCTGTATAGAGCAGCATTTTCCAAGCATATTTATAGTTTTTACAATTTTTGTAAAATTTTTTTAATATCTTTAAAATTAAGGGGCTACGATCGATTACACAATAAAAACACACCCTGTGTATTTATGAGAACATTTTTTTCCAGGATTTTTTGCATGTAACCACCATAGAGCTCCGATTTACTTTGCCGAATCTATAAACACCCACAAAGGTTTTTGGGGGTGGCCTTGCCCATCATACTTGACGTTTATAACGGGAAGCTGTCCTCCACTAGACCCTCAGGTTGGTATTTCTTTGCGTGTTTTTCCTGTTTCATATAGGTTTTGTAAAAATAAGGAAACAGATAACAGAGTTATGGGGTTCCGAAAAATTGTGCGATGTCGAATTCGGCCTTGCCTCCAGCACATAATTAGGTGGATATCAATTTGATGTTAGTTGGGAGTATATTCTTTTTTTTACACCGAAGCAGCCGCGTAGGCAGAAGCCAGGACACCGCGACTGCTGTGAGGATCCCAGATAAACTTTGTTAATCCGATTTTTGAACTGCCTCAGGTTAGCAGAACTCTTGTAGATTATTCCACAATCTCGACAACCTCGGGACGATGGAGCGCTCGTATCGGCCAGTTCTGGATGTACGCGGTTTGACACGGTTAGTATGGGAGGCCGAAGTCAGGCGGGTCTGTCTGGCAGGCGCATCGCGCGGCGGCATCATAGAGGAGACCTCTTAGAAGAAAAGCCCGTTGGCGTAGCGTTAGAAGAAGGCTAGGTCGCCGACGGCCCGCCAGTGCGAAAGGATCCCGAGACTGTCTGTTAGAAAAGAGTCATCAGTTGGACAACCCTCCTCTTGGCAGCATCCAGCATGAATGATGTAGTCGGGGAGGCAGCTCCACAAACGTGTGAGCAATCCTCGAGGCTAAGTCTTATCCGGGCATTGTATAGAGTCTGGAGGTCACGTGGAGAAAAGTACTTCTTAACCCTAAGCAAATAGCCTCGATGTGTGTTCGTGCCAGATCAAGTCCATCTGCCATCCATCGCCATCGCTGCAGTCTTCTTTTTTCCAGCTCACCGGCGGAGACCGGTTTGGCGCTCTGAATTCCTGCATGTAGGGTGGTGCCATCAGCAAAGCTGTGGATTAGATTGATCGTATAGGAAAGGAGGTCGTTGATATGTAAGAGGAACAGTCGCGTAACCAAGACCGATCCCCGGGGAACACCCGCGTTGACGTTTTGGAATGAAGAAGAGAACCCGTCAAATACGACGGATATCTTGCGGCCAGGGGGGATGTCAGCCACCCGTCTGCAAAGCTTCTCTAGGAGGCCATAGTGGAAAGTTTGCATGAGAGGGCAGCGTACCACAGCTGATTGAACACTTTCGTGATATCAAGAGCAACGTCATGAGCCTGTTCATAAGACTGATTGAGTTTACTCCACAATTGCGTGACGTAAGCTGTGGATCGCTAGTACCGGACACCAATCAACCAGCCTGTCGCTAATCAAGCCGTGACGCGAGGTAGTCCAGAAGATTTATGCAACTCTCCATCGCCTTACTTATAACAGAAATCACAACAGCGTGCCTGTAGTTGTAAGGGCCGTCTTAGATCCCTTTTTTGGGGTTGGTTGGACATGAGCAAATTTCCATTTTTTGGGAAGTGGCGGATTCGTAAGATATCTGGAAGATACGCGAAAAAACTAGAGCAAATTCAGCTGCAAACCTCAATAATACGACGGCAAGAAACAAGTCCGGATCAGAATGCTGAAGAAGGCGCAGGCCGAGATACTAGACAGCCCCAAATACTGCAAATTGGAGTTTGCATAGGACGGTGACATGTGTCAAGGCGAAGGCGCTACTTAAAATTGCTCATCAAGTGAACAGTGTATCAGTACTATTTTTTTAATTTTTCGCTGATATTTTGCCGCACAATAGGTTTGTTATTTCAAAGGTAGTTGTTTTTGAAAAGGGAATGCCCAACTTTCAAAACGCCATGTATTTATTATATTAATAACTCATTCTAAAACATGTAGTACCGATCCTCAACTTAACAGCAGTGGCCCTGATGAACAGCTAATGACCCAACAAAATCCTTGAGAATATTTTGTTTGAAGTCCAATACCTCAAATCTTGTACGTGGGTGGTTGACCTATTTTCGTACGGATAACGGAAACAAATACCGAATGTCTATTTCAAGACATCGATAGCACCCGCAGTACACGTGTAAGGTTCGAAGATTGAATAGTTTGGAATTTTCTCAACAAAGCCTAAGATATATTCTTTTCTTCACCTCTGCTATAATTCCTCTCTCAAACACACCATTCTATATTGTCTCTTCAGGTCATCATGGGCGAATTTGTAAACAGCACCTCACAGGGCGTATACTTGGTCATCACTGAATCTGTTCCTCCATACGCGGCGGGAAAATACGAGGGGCCGAGCATAGAAATCATCAAAGAGGGGCCCACTGATTGGGAGAAGTACGAGAACGAAATTTTGGACAATGCAGACGAGTTACAGTACCTCGATAGGGATTTATATGACACAGATACCACCTCCACTACGTCAAGACCCTTTTTCAAGGGGATAAGGGAGGGTCTGGGTAGATTCTTCGAACATACATTGGGATAATCATATTGTTTTAATAACGAATAAAATTAGAATGGGCAATTAAGGCGGGGTTTGCCGGGTAGGAATAGTTTGAATTTCAAACAGACAATTCCCTTTTGATGCCAAACTAAATCTCCCGCATCGGGCACTAAAAGCTAAACAGCTAGGGGATAACTTACATGTTTTACAAATAACTTCTATTTTCATAAAGTTAGGTCACACTTCGCCGGTGTTTCTTACTTGCAATTTTCTTGATGTAGTTTAGTATCACAAGAGAATTGTTTAAAATTCAAATTTTCTCTAATCTCAAATAATGTACGAATCCCGTTTTAATAAATACCGCAAAAATATTGTCTTTTTCACGAGTATCCATTACGGTAGAATAACAGCTGATTATCTGGTAATATTTCAAAATTCCCCATATCGCCAAATGACGGATCGTCAACGCCAGGTACACAGAGCCGTATTTTGTTTATTTTATGCGCTACAGATTCATTTTGTACTTGCTAACAACTCTTTTATTTAGAAAAGTTCACTTGCATGCAAAAACAAAAATGCTACAAGTAAGTTTCACTATATTTACAGTTACACCCGATTCATTATTGCCATCGTTACAGACTAATACAAAGATATTCACTTGCTGATCAGCTGTTCACCTCAAACGTGATGGATACTCGTGAAATAAGGTTTAAAGGTAAATTAATCTTATTTAAGATTTAAATCGATATATGTGTGACATATGTATGTCGAATAAGGTTAACATTACCGTTTACGTATTGGTATGTGTGACTGCCAAAACACAAAAACTAATATCACAGGGATTTCATTATTAATCAATATTTATTATTTATAGTACCGCGTCGTCGTGTTATATTTGTCACTTTTTATTTATTATATTTATTTTTTAGTTTCTGATGAATAAATTTTTGTCTCTGAATTCTATCGTCGCTTTGAAACTTTCATTGCCTTCTAGAAATATGCTTTCTGTCCTTGTAAATTTGCATACATACATTTACTTATTCAAATTCTCTGTATTGCCTGCTGGCGGAATCAGCTAATACCATTTGATTTTTGTTCCGAACATCAACACACCGGTCAATATCAGAGAAAATGTTATTTGCCTATTTGCTAAAAGCCTAATCTCCATGGTAGCTGTAGGGCCAAATTCTAAGGGCAGGGTCATAAAGAAAACTTGTTTTGTTATGTCAGAAATTATTACGTTACACCTTTGAGGAGGAATTTTATACTTAACCGTTCTCGTCCCTAGAAAAAGCGTAAAAACCCAGAAAATGCTTTTTTGATTCAAAATATTGATGTGCTAACGAAATAAAACTTTTGGAAAATATCCCTTTAGATGACAAGTTGCTAAGCGTCTCCTATCAAAGCTAGTGGTTTAATAAAATGAGAGGCATCCAGTTATCTCTATAAGTAAAACATAATCAAAAAAATAAAAACTTTATTGTACCTGCCATAGAAAATTTGCACATTTGTCTATCATATGATTTAAACAAAGTAATGAAAACAATCTCTTCAAAACTTACATATCACAACTCAGGCAGTGATTTGCACCACTGTGTGGTGTGAATATAACCCAAGGATAAAACTGTCGCATTTCAACTGAAGTAACAACAACATCAAGATGTAAATTCAACAAAGAGTTGGGTCATATAATCTCATATATGACAATTTTTTATCCTTACACCTGACTTGAAGCAAAGCAAACCACCATTTGTGTTGCCATCAACGTCATAACCAAAGAGTAGTTATATCCAGAGAAGAATACACATGGGATGTCTTTATAAACCGTCGGTTGGCCCCATTGCCATTGGGAATATTCTGCATTATAGTAGGGAAGCCGATCGCAAATTTTTAGTGGCTACGTCAAAAAGTCATACGTAATAAGTAAACAATATCGTCTTAAGGCCAGGAAGTCTAGATAACTGGCAAGCAGTTTGAGGATGAATTTCAAGCTTACGTTCCTCTTTTATTACAAAACTAAACTGTGTGTAAAGCCCTAAAAGTTAAATATAACTATGTGATAACTTACAGATTCTGAGAACAACTTCCTCGCGACAGGTGTCATTTATAACTTTATTTAATGAAAAATGTACTTCGTAGCCTGCAAACGAATGACTAATCTACACAAAAGGAATAAATGTCCAAACAAAAGTAAATTTGAAAACAATAATTTTCATTACATTTCATTATTTCTCATACCTCTACTTTATTCGCCTTTTCTGTTTTCTCTTGATATAACTACTTTTTGGCCATACAGCTGGTATCATAGACAGTAAAGATGGCAATACTGTCCAATTCTGGTCTGGTCGCAACTTGTTTGGGGACCGACAACTGACCCGAATTGGTCGATAGTTGCTGCCAAACGCAAATTTCGTATTATGTATCAGTCATCGTGTCTCAATCGGCGACCGGCTACGGTGGCGCCTCTATGGAGCAACTGGTGAACGAAAAGTGCATTCTTTGGTTAAGAGTATCAAAAAATTGGTATTCCCTAACTCACTGACAGCGACCCAACAGCAACTTACTAGCGATTTGAACTGTCAAATTGACAACTGCTCAGTGATAGTCGACTAGTCGGTCGGCAATCGGTTGCTTGTTTGGATAAATTTGTCAAAACTATTCATTTTTTTAACAAGAATGGTAAGTATAACAAGTTCAAATGAGGAATAAAATAGCTTGACGAGTCTAAGAAGTGATTGTATGCCAATTTGTATTTTTAGCAATTTTGACTCTCTGGATGGCTCGTGCATTTTTGCTTGTGGAAGCAATGGAAAGCGAAAGAATGCACGATCAAAGACGGCAAACTTCTCGCTTACGGCGTATTTTTCAGAATCTATGACTTGAAGTTCATAATGATTATCAAATAAGCTTACTTGCACCTCCCTACCACAGTATAGAAATGTAGTATATTAAGTACGCCCCTGGTTCCCCGAAAATTGCGCATGTACGATGAGTACTCTCACCGGGATACGTTGGACACACAGAATGTCGGGGTTCCGGATTTGTAACAGTTATCGGTGATATACAGGGTGGCCCATAAGTCCTTTGAGCTGGAAAAAAAGGAATAAAACCAAACTAGTTACATTATGAAGAATTATTATATTTTGTTATCATCTTTATTGAATGGGAATTATGTTTTAAAAATCACATCGTGTAAATGCAATCCATTACGATCACGGCACTCATATAAACGACGTCTAAAATTGTCGATGACTGCGCGTCAAGTCAACACTGTAATGCTTGCCATTTCTCTTCGGATATTTTCTTTCAGGACATCAACTGATCGCGGAGTGGTGTCGTACACTTTACTCTTGAGGTAGCCCCATAAAAAGAAGTCCTTTGGGGTCAAATCTGGACTACGTGGTGGCCAGGAAATGTCTCCTCTTCGAGAAATTACTTTGCTGGGAAAAAGTTGACAGACGACGGGCATAGAAGTGTTGGAGGTGTGGGCAGTTGCTCCGTCCTGTTGAAACCAGGTCGCCGTATTATAGCCTGGAAAATTCTGCAACGCTGGTGTCAAAAACTCTTCTATCATTGCTACATACCGCTCCGAAGTAACAGTTAATGCGCGACCTCTGTCGTCCTCAAAAAAATAAGGGCCTACGATGCCATGCGCTGACATAGCAGCCCAAACTGTAACTTTAGGGCTGTGTAAGGGCTTCTGATGCTTACGCCATGGATTTTCGGGGCTCCAATAACGGCAATTTTGTTTATTTACATGCCCGTTTAAATGGAAGTGAGCCTCGTCCGAGAACAACACATTATTGAGCGAAGAAAATCGATTCAACATTTCATTCGCAAAGTTTAGTCTCTGAATAGCGTCATTATCTTTTAATTCCTGCACTAACTTGAATTTTGTAAGCGTGCAGACGTAAATCTTTTTCCTTAAAATCAGCTGTAACAATGTTCTGGGTACGTTTAGTGCACTGGAACGCTTACGAGTAGACTGGGTAGGATTTTGACGAACAGACTGTGCCACAAGATTGATGTTTTGTTCAATACGAGTTGTCCTTGGTCGACCCCACCACTGTTTATCTAACGTCGAACCAGTCTCTTCGAACTTAGCAACCCAGTTTTTAATCGTTTGAGCTGTTGGACACTTTGTAAAATTGTGTAAATTGTGGTATTCTCGATATTTACGCCGCGCAATGGTTGCCGAATCATTATTTTGATAAAACGCGCGCACACAAAAAGCACGATCCGCTCCAGTGAAACACTCCATGGCGACTGAATTCCCAGACACTGAAGATACTGCCCCCACCTCGCCCGCGCCGCTCACGCTCATCCGTTAAATTTTATTCAAATTTGAAATTTCAATAGGACTTATGGACCACCCTGTATAATAAACCATTAGTTTACTTCCGGGTATTATTGATACCAACTAAGACGTTACATGGCGACGAGGGTTATTAAAGAACTCGCCGGGTGAGGTTAAGTGTGTGTAAACTCCCCGTTTGTGTTGAAACCTCCAGTTGTTGGTGAACCAATCTGTGCACAAGAAAGATGGCAGTTGCAGCAGCGGGTCCCGTGCTCACATTCAATCCCAAGGAGAACGAGTGGGAAGTTTTCTTCAAAAGGTTAGAGCAGTATTTTATAGTACACGGGGTCACTGAAGAAGCTGACAAGAGAGCTCATTTGCTGTATAGTTTGTCTGAGGAGGCGTATATTTTATTAGAAAATTTATGTATGCCGCAAAAGCCGGAAGAAACCCCATACCAAGACATAGTTCAGTTATTGTCTAACTACTATGGTAAAACTGCTGTTGTATGGGTCGAAAGGCAGAAGTTTTATAGTGCATCCAAATCAGGAAATGAGACGGCACTAGAATGGAGTGTACGACTTAAAGGTTTAGCTCGCTATTGCAATTTTGGTCAGCAGCTTGAGTCCAAGCTAACGGACATTTTTGTTACGCAGTTCAATCCTGGGAAGGTGAGAACTGAATTATTCAGCCTAAACGAGAACACCACCTTAAATAACGCTGTTGAAAAGGCCAAAATTATCGAAGCAACGCTAGTAATAAGAGACCCAGTTGGTGAAGTTAAAAGCGAGGTCTTAGAATCCGATGTTTTTCGAATTACACAAAATAATTCAAATGGTGCCACTGCCGATCAACATCAAGATCCTCAACGGTATCATAGAGGGACAGCAGTACCTGCAGCGCAGCGGAGCCAAGGAGGCACGCGCAGGAGTGGGGGCAACAGCTCAAACATGGCGCTGCCGCAGCTACAGCCGTTCACATCGTCTGGTCGCTCTCCGGGCTGTTTCCGCTGCGGGAGGAACCACAACAGTAATGTATTCCCCTATAAGGAATATATTTGTAACTCTTGTCACGGTAGGGGTCATCTCAGTGTGGTATGTAAAAAGAAAAGCAATCCTCACCTAAGCACGTTATGTTTTTCCTAATAATGATATTGCTGAGGATTATACAGACGTTTTTTCATCCCCAGTTCTAAGTATTTCTAGCTTAGGAAGCAACAATGATGTGCCACTATATATCGATATTTTAGTTGAGAATGTCATGTTGAAATTTGAACTTGACAGTGGATCAGCTGTTAGTGTTTTGCCACTTCATGTTTACAAAACATATTTTGGTGCTCACGTCATGAAAAAAACAAATGTTTCCTTGATTAATTTTTCTGGCAATAAGATCATCCCACATGGCACAATCAACTTAAATGTTAAATTTAATTTCAAAGATAGCATCCTACGCTTTTTTGTTGTTGATGGTAACAATCCATTGCTCCTAGGTCGAGATTTTATTAGGAATTATAATATGGGATTTAGAGAAATTCATTATTTGAACAACGATGCTGTTGATGCTCTATGTAATGAGTTTCCTGGCGTTTTTGCAACCAATTTGGGAAGGTTCAATAAGTGTAAGATCTCCATAAATATTAAACTTGATGCAAATCCCATTTTCCATAAACCTAGACCGTTACCGTTTGCAATTAAAGGTAAAGTGGAGGAGGAATTAGATAAATTAGTCTCTAATGGTATAATATCTCCAGTGGAGTTTTCAGAATGGGGTACCCCAATAGTACCAATTTTGAAGGAAGATGGAGGAATAAGAATTTGTTGTGATTATAAGGTAACTATTAATTCAGCTATTCTAGTGGACACATTTCCCTTGCCTAGAATTGACGACTTATTCACAAAACTGAAAAATGGAAAGCAATTTTCCAAAATTGATCTCTCATCGGCTTACAATCAAATAGAGCTCGAGGACTCTTCAAAAAAATTTACGACTATTTCGACTCACAAAGGTTTATTCGAATTCAATAGATTGCCGTTTGGAATAAACTGCGCTCCAGCACAATTTCAAAGAATTATGGAGCAGCTGTTCAATAAAATGCCCCGTGTATGTGTTTTTCTTGATGATATTTTAGTTACAGGTATCGATAAAGAAGATCATATTAGAAATTTGAAAAGGGTTTTACTTTGTCTTTCCGAATGTGGTCTCACTGTTAGAAAAGAAAAGTGTGTGTTTTTGGCTGATTCCATTTCATATTTAGGGTTTGTTATAGACGAGACAGGCCTACATAAAAGTTTAGAAAGAGTTAAGGCAATACGCGACATTTCTCCACCAGAAAATGTCACTCAACTTAAGTCTTTTTTAGGCAGTATCACTTATTATAATCCTTTCATCAGAAATCTCCCAGATATACTTCACCCTTTATATAATCTTTTGAAAAAAGATGTAAGTTGGTCATGGGATAAAACATGTCAGGATTCATTTGAGTATATTAAACTTGAATTATGTTCTGACGATGTGTTGGTGCATTATAATCCTGACCTACCAGTTACTTTGACTATTGATAGCTCGAACTATGGAGTGGGAGCAATTTTATCTCATGTTTTTGAAAATGATGTCGAAAAGCCAATTTGTTATGCGTCAAGAACTCTCTGGAAAAACGAATTGGCATACTCTATTTTGGATAAAGAAGCTACCGCGATTGTTTGGAGTATTAAACGATTTTACCAATATTTGTGGGGAAGAAAATTTACTTTGGTCACAGATAATAAGGCACTCATGTCAATTTTTGGACCTAAAATAGGTGTTCCAGTGATGGCAGCAAATAGACTGCAGAGATATGCACATTTTCTGAGTGGCTTCAATTTTGATATCAAGCATGTGTCATCCATTCAAAATGTAGCGGACTTCTTAAGCAGAATGCCGATTGAAGATGACATGTCTGTGCAACTGATCGACTTCCCCATTCATTTAAATTATCTCACTAATTCCGATTCTAGTATACCAGTCGATGTTAACAAGGTCAGAGAACTTACATCCTCAGATTCAGTACTTTCTGAGGTACTCAATTTTGTTAAAAAGGGGTGGCCTGCAAGTCATAAAAGTAATGAATTGAAACCTTATTTCAGTAGGAAAAATGAAATCAATGTTGAAGACGATGTCCTGCTTTGGGGACATCGAGTTATCATACCATTTCAGTTACGAGAGGTGATATTGAAGGAGTTGCATGCTACCCATTTGGGAATTGTTAAAATGAAGTATCTTGCGAGATCTTACTTTTGGTGGCCGTCCTTGAATGATGATATTGAAAGTGTTAGTAAGCAGTGCAACATATGTCAACGCTTGCAATCATCGCCGGCCAAGGCACCGTTACAATGTTGGCAAATACCCGAGGGCATTTGGTCGCGGATACATATAGATTTTTTTGAACCGAAGAAAAACAATTTATTTTTGATTGTCGTTGATGCCTTTTCCAAATGGCTTGAAGTATTTCCGATGGCATCTGTTACCACTAACATGACTATTACAAAGCTGCGAGAACTTTTTTCTAGATTTGGATTGCCTAAGACTATTGCAAGTGATAATGGTCCCCAGTTAGTGTCAGAAGAATTTAAACAATTTGCAAATGTTAATGGTATTAAACTAATAAATATTCCGCCTTATGAACCTCATTGTAATGGTGCAGCTGAGAATAGCGTAAAAACTGTTAAAAATTTTTTGAAAAAGGTTAGTGATCAAAAGAACTGTAATTTACTATTAGCTCAATTCCTTATGACATATAGGAATACTGTTCACTGTTCTACTGGTTATTCTCCTGCTAAAGTATTTTTAGGTCGTTCGTTGAGAACTCGATTTGACATGCTTAGACCAAGCTCAGTCCAAGACAATGAAAAAGTTGAACTTGAAAATGTTTACCAAAACATACAACGTTCTCAACGAAGAAATGCAAAATACTTCAGAGGAAATAGGAAAGTATGTTTTAATATTGACCAAATTGTGTTGGTTAAAGATTATCGCGATAAACAAGTAACTTGGTGTAAAGGACAAGTTGTTAAAATTTTAGGGAAAAACGTTTACGTTGTTCGACCACTAGATTCAAATTTCCTTTGGAAAAGACATACTAATCAGATCAGAGAACTAAATGATGATTATTCGTAGGTCTACCCACCCTGCGTGGAGCTACCGCACACTGTAAACGTTTTTTCCAATAGTGATGGCGCCAGCAATACTTCTGCCGGTAGTTCGGTTGATGATGTGTTTGTGGATGCCGGAATCGCGGATAGTGAACGCGTGGATGTCAGTGACTCGGATTCTAGCTCCATTGGTGAACAGGCTGAACTTACACGACCCATACGTATCCGTAAGGTACCGGATAGGCTCCAATACTAACCATTCATTAATTGTTTCTTTTTTTATTGTTACCCATCTGATCACTGTTAACAATTTTCGGGGGAGATGAATGTAGTATATTAAGTACGCCCCTGGTTCCCCGAAAATTGCGCATGTACGATGAGTACTCTCACCGGGATACGTTGGACACACAGAATGTCGGGGTTCCAGATTTGTAACAGTTATCGGTGATATAAAATAAACCATTAGTATACTTCCGGGTATTATTGATACCAACTAAGACATTACAAGAAACATACTGGTTTTAGGTATTAGCAGCATTTCTGGTGCTGGCCACTGGTTCCTGCCAGAAACATATTGGCATGGGTTATTTACATGGGCTCAGTCAACGTAGTGTATCCAAAGAACTAAGGAAAGTGGTGGATGCATTAAATCATCCAGACATTCTACGAGTATCTAAGCATGATTACTTCCCTCAAACACTGTCAGAGAGAATAGTAATTATATTGCCATGCATATTAACCCTTAACTGGCGTGGTGACGTCCCTGGGACCACTGAGAATACGTTTACAGACGCTCCCCCACCACTTTTCAGAATTTCGGCTTGCGCATTCATATACCTCTCAGTCAGTGTGTGTTCAACTCTAGGCTGGAGTGTCACTGTTTTATCGCTTTCCGTTTTTGCTTAAATGAGTGGTCGGTGTCCCAGGGACGTCACAACGGTAAGAACGCTATAAAACTCGCATTGGTATTTTTTGCTACAGTTTTTTTTTCAATGTAACGTAGGTACAAAATGGCTGACAGACCTATACCTGAACGTGTGAAACTAGATGATCCAGATCTTGAACGTAAAGTGATGCGAATGTTGGAGTCTCTGGATTCAGATGTTGAGCTATCGGAAATAGAAGAAGACGATCAATATTCAGAAAGCGAACACGATACAGATTCAGCCATTTCTGCAGATGAAGATGGACCCGCCAGTGAAGGAAGCGTTCGTTCAAGTGAATCAGAAGGTAACGACGAGAATGAACTAAATATGGATGACAGGTACTTTTATGGCAAAAATAGGTTTAAATGGTCGGCAAATCCTCCGAATAGAAATGTGAGAACTCCGGCGCATAATATCATCAAGGTACCAACATCTAGGTCTTCTGCAACAAAATTAGATCCTTTGACTGCCTTCATGTCCATATTTACGGAGGAAATGATGGATCAAATTCAGGAATGGACCAACAAAAGGATACAGAGCTCTAGGTCAAAATTTTTCGACCCCTCAAGGACTGAAGTCAGAGATACTACTAAAGAAGAAATTAGGTGCTTCATAGGACTTCTAATCTACACGGCCGTTTTTAAGTCCAATCATGAGGATATAGCGTCACTTTTTGCAACGGACGGGAAATATTTAGGCTTTCTTTATCAGCAAAACATTTTATTATACTTCTAAATTGTTTAAGATTTGACAATCCAGATGATAGAAACTACCGAAAAGAAGCCAACCCATGTGCAGCGGTATCAGAATTATTGAACAGATTCAACGAAAATTCGCAGGCCTCATATTCTTTAGGTTCTAGCACAACCGTAGACGAAATGCTAATAGCTTTTCGTGGACACTGCCGGTTCAAAATGTACATGCCATCGAAACCTGCCAAGTACGGCTTAAAACTGCAATGTCTTACTGATGCCAGAACAGGCTATGTTTATAATACATATTTATATTGCGGCAAAGGACGCGACAGCATCGGACTTTCTCAACATGAAAAGAAATTTGGGATTGCCACCCAAGCAGTAATAAGGTTGTGCAAGCCTATATTCGGGACCAACCGTAACGTCACTACGGATAATTGGTACACTTCGATGGACGTGCTCAAGTTCTCAAAGAAAATGGACTTATTTTGGTTGGAACTTTGAAAAAAAAAACAAAAGAGAGGTTCCCAATGATTGTCAGCCATCTTGTAGAAGGCAAATAGGTTCTTCAATTTACGGATTTACCAAAGACTACACGCTACTGTCATATGTACCAAAGAAAAATAAGGCCGTATTACTGCTATCGTCTATGCATCATGCTGTAGGGACAGATCCTGTTACTAAGAAACCAGAAATAATCGACTATTATAATACGACTAAAGGCGGAGTAGATACTATGGATCAAAAGTGCAGTGTCTATTCGTCCAGCCGTCGAACGCGTCGCTGGACTATGGCCATATTTTTTCGTATCTTAGATAAGAGTGTTGTCAATGCCTACATTTTACATCAATCTCTCCGTGATAGAGAAATTTTAACTCGATCACAGTTCATGAAGACAGTAGCAAAACAATTAATAGAGCCATATATGAGAATTCGTCTTCAAAATGCGAGGTTACCACGCGACCTCAGACTGTCCATTGGACGAGTCCTTGGTGAAAGGTTATATACAGCTGAAAGTAGCCAATCTGATAAGTTAGAACGTTCAGAAAGGAAGGCATGTCCTGCAAAAAAGCGAAGAAAAACAGCTTACTTGTGTTATGCATGACATCCAATATGTTTAGAATGTAGTAAAACGTTCTGTGCATCCTGTGCTTCAGAAAGTAGTGCACAATGAACTATTGCACATTTTTTATCTAAGAGTGTAATATTGCCTTTATATATTTTTCTATGTTCAATAATGTTCAAGCTATTCGAAAAGTGTTTTTGATTTTCAATTTTTTTTTGTTATGTTGCTACTGAATAAAATCTTGAGCATTGTCTTTTCGTTTTGTAAAACTTTCTTAGTAAATTATATTCAAATTAAAACTATGTTTTTTTTTTTATATTTGGGAACGGTGTGACATGAATGATTTATTTACATGTTAAAGCATTTCTCAAAAATGTTTGACTTTGATACTACACACAGAATGTTTTTGTTACGGATTTAATTACGGGGTCCCAAGGACGTCAGGACGCAATAAATGCAAAAATAATCCACTACGCCAGTTAAGGGTTAAGAAAGTGAGATTGCACATCAAAATTGTATGGTGGATCATTAATTGAGAAACTAATGAGTTCAGCTACTTCAAAAATTTTCAACACATGGAAGTTTACATTACCTGATAAAAATTTCATCGCTGTGAAGTTGAAATTTTCTATTAACAAGAGTAATAAGTCAATATTCATCGATCCTAAGATCAATGCCTCAGATTCATTATCTATAAGATTAACAATACAAATATTTCACATATTTTAGGCAACCTACCGACTTCAGTACTAACATTTACTTTAGTTGTAATTATTGTTATATGCCTGCTTGAAGATGAGTAATAATAAAAGATATATTTTTACAGGTGACTCTGGACTTCCATTAAAAATCGGTCTTACCAGAAATACCATAGGGCGATGCACGGGAGTATTAAAATTTTTATTATCTACTGTATCGAACATTTTAAATTTCCAGGAAATAATGTTCATTGTTATATGCTTATGCTTAATGATAGCTCTGCTTTAAAAAGGTTTTATCAACCACTGTAAACAAAATGTTAATGTTTAGGTATAGAATTAGTTTTCTAGGAAGGTTTATTTTCACATGTCCATATTCAACAGTATCTATTTTAGAGAATTTGGAAAAAGCCTAAAAGTATGCTTTGAGCAAAGATCAAGAAAAATTGCAAAATGCTTTTGTAACAGGAAGCACTTCCTTTTTAAAATATAGTTATAAAACCGCTGACCTTCTTTTTGTAATAGAACCCACAATTTTTGTTTTCAATTTAAGCATTAATGGTACTAAATACAATCGTAAAAATTGCAAAAAAACTCGGTGTTCCACAATCACTCAAACAGCCTAAAACTTCGCCGCTTGTGAAGATTAGTACAAATCGCTAAATGACACTCCTATTTTGTTTTCGTCAATTTGAAAAGCAATTATTTTTAATACAATAAAAAAATCTTGTTTGTCTTAAAAATATGTTGAGAGACAAACTTTTTACCGTATTAAGAGTTAAAAATGATTTATGGTGCCACTACAAAAAAGATGTCTGTGTAGTTTTAACACACAAAAATAGCGCACTGTTACAGAACAGCAATAGGAATAATATAGTAAATTGATTTGTGCAAATATCTTTTATTAAAATAACAAAGATTAGGTCGCCCAAGTAAGCAATAATCATAAAAATACTTTATCAGGTTTGAAAGTTTGAGATGCTTGACCAAATTTCTTATGAAATTTTTGAATTTGCATTAATGCCGTCTCTGCCTGCATACAACTGGCTTCTGCACAATGCATAACTATTTGTAATTCTATATCTGGTGGTGGCTCAACAGCTGAAGATGAAGGAGTTGGTTCTGAAAATCAAAAAGCTTTTAATTAATGTCTGAAGTTATGAAGCAATACCAAGTAGAAACTGAATTCATATGCAATTTTTCATTCTAAAACAAGATCAGCACTAGTGAAAAATTACATTAAAAATTTGTATTTTTTCCTTTGAAGCAGAACTTTGTACTTATTTTTATCTTGTGATCAAGTGTTAGAAGATGATGTGGAGTACCAGGAAGTAAAATCAAATTAAATGTGGTTTAATTAAGTGGGCAATAGAGATAGAGAATATAAACTGCAAGTTGTTTATTTTAGTAAAGCTCGTATATAATTTCTGATTATTTTTATTATCACTTAGGCCCGTATCGTCAGTCGTCCCTACAATTGTAGGGCGCGTTTATGACCTCCTTGACTTCTATAATATTACGTCTTCTTCACTGACGTACATGTATGTCCTGCTTTACATTTCCGACATACTGACAGTTCTGGCTTGAGGTTGTCGTTTTAACGTTCAAGACACATGCAAATAATGTGTGTATCTTCAAGAAATTGTTGAGTTAGGAAAATTAATGCACATGGATATATTGTATTATAATATCATATTTGTGTGTATGAAAGTCCAGAAGCTTTCAACCAAGCTATTCTCTTGATGAAGGTTGGTAAGTTACAAAACAAATCATTGCATATCCATATTATATACTTATCGCATTATTTTCAGGTGTGATTTATTCTGGCAGACTTTATGAGATGGTTCCTCCATGGATAAGAAACATTGTATGGCAAGTGCAATTATTGCATTGTCGATGTCAGAGACGCTTTTTCACAAATCATTGTGGGACTCTAGATTGTGTAGACTGTAGAGTGTCAGGAACAAGTATGTAAAATGTGTGTATGTGAAGATCATAATTACTATTATTGACCATCGCTATTTCAGGGTGCTCAAAATGCCAAGGTCATGTAGGATTACCAAAAATGAAGTGTTACAGAGAGTAAACAGAAGAATAGAGTTGCAGCATGAAGCAAAATCAGAAGAACTTTATGACAATTCCATAATGAATTCCGAATGGGAAAATAAAAGAAAATTGTGACTCATCAAGGGAATTACTTTCCTGTTAAACAAACTCCAAACAATTCAAACAACTAGATAAGCGCAAAACACCCATTATGTTGAAAATTGTAGTTACCTCAAAGTCAGACTGGGTTAAGCCCTAATAGGTAGTTTTAAGATAGTTTCATTGCATTCATAATTCACTCATCATTACGGGTAGATAGATGTTGCAAGTATCAAATTAAAACTCCCAACTTTATCATGAACTTAACATGTAAGATTCATTTTAGGCAAAAATGAACTTAACCTAACCTGGCTCTGAGGTACAGAATACAGAATTTGATTTGTAATTAAACTGCTGGGTATAAATTTTGGATCTAAATCACAATCAATAATGGAACCTTCAGCTACTGAGCATACTTCAGTGGCATCATCAAGAACAAGGAGATCAATGCACTGAGCCACAAAGAACAATATATTGTATTTATCAAATGTGTTGCACCATATATTAATGTTGTAGAATGTGATATATGAAGAAAAAGTGAGCTAAATACAGTTTCTTTTCCACTTTATTCATTGTGACTTGTAATCTCAACATAAAAGGGAAAATTTATTAAAACTGTGGCATAGGAAAGAAAAACATTTATTGTTCGAGAAAGAAATATCAAAAACTGAACAGGTTTGATATTTGAAAAACTCATATGAAGAGCAGATTTTGCTAGTTATGATAGCAAACTAAAAAAATATGAAATCTTTGGCTTGAAAGTCTGCATTTATCTCTTGAAGTATTGGTAGCTGCAATTTAGTTTGTTTCCTAATTGAATGTCCATATCTAGGGGGGTGATTTCAGGTCCATTTTAAGATGAAAACTTCAAATGATCGTATGCCCTAAAAGTTTTAACTTTTGAAACACATGGTGGTTAAACAAGGTCAAAAAAATAAATCTTTGATTATGAATATCCGTATTACCACTTAATGATATTTGGCATACACATAAAGGTGTCAAGAGGCATTCTTTTAATTTTACCTGCCTGTTTTGATAGACAAGTGATGATATGCTGTTTATTTCTCTGTTATTAAAATTTTCATTCACCGGAGTGAACAAAAATTAAGCAATCAAATTTGCCTAGAAATGACGAGATTTCAATTAAAAAGTTTTTATTTTAAGAGAAATCAGTTGCGTACTATCATTGTCTGCCAAAATAAGCAAGTGCAGTCGGTACGAACGTCAATTTTAATAAAGTATTTAAAGTGATATTACAGATCGTAACAAAAAAATGATTGATTTTTAAAAAGCTTATCACCCCGTTTCTCAAAAGTCAAGGCGTTTAGGACGTACAATTATATGAAGTTTTCTTCTTAAAATAGAACCAAAAGTCGCCCTCTTAAATATTGACATTCAGTTGGAAAACACCTTATATATTTTGACTATATATTTGTTCATATTTCCTGTTATTATCTGTACCTTTTAGATATAAAGACTTCATTTGATTACTGATACTTATGTATTTTGACATTACTATCTATGAATTCCTTAACAATATCATGTATCATATTTTCCAGTTGGGACTTGCAGAATATAAATAAAAGAATACTTGGTAAAATAAATACTTTTTATTCTACATTGTATACCCACAGAGATACAATAGGTACGTTCAAAAATATCTAGAAATATAGACTTCATCAATTTTTAGTCCTTGACGTTAACTAGATTATATGCTATTTTCTAAATTACAAGCTATGTAAACAGGGCTAAAAGGATATCTAATCAATTGCAAAGAAATCTTCCTAGTTTTGGGGCACATTAGATCATTTTGGAAAGTTAATTAACTCTAGGTATGAAACTTCTTGAAATATCCAATTTAAATGCATTGACTCTTCTTTTTTTCCCTCTAATAACGTTCCTTACACTGGAGTTGTTGTCTTGGAACAATATCTTGTAGCCTGGGCTCATCAGGATTGGATGTTCTTTGAGCAATGCAAGTAGATCTGAAAAAATACTATTACAAGTAATGGTGATTTCTTATGTTTTACTCCTAAGTACCGATTTAACCATAAGTATTAAAATATGTATTTCATATAGCATTTTTGCTAGATCACTGAATTCTTATTTAACCTATGGCATCATCTTTGTGAGATTTTGTCAAATAGAAATGTTGATTACAATATTCAAAAAGCCACTTTATCGAGTTTTGTGTGCAACAACAACATTAACCATTAGGCATTTGAGAACCCCCTTTCCAGGCTTAACAAAGCTCCTCTTGAACTCAATAGCTTTTAACTTTTATGAATAGACAGGCTTATGCCTACCTTTAATTTACAAATTACAGCGTAACACATGTCAGTCACAAAAAGCAAATTCACTTATTCCAGTAAGGTTGGCTCCATCAAACATGCTTTCAAGTGCCTGGATGCATGAATCCATTCTTAGGAAGATCATTCGACTCTTTATCCTCCCAAAATAGATATGGAGTTTTGTATGCAATATCACGATGCTTTATATCTGCAAAAAAGATGCATAGATTCAAGAAACATTAAAAATTTTACACCTAGGTGTGGACTACAATTTTATAATGATATTTTTTTAAGTTAGTCTAAAATTTTTAGGTTAAGGTTCCCACTAATATAAAAAAAATACCAGATAGGGCAGGGCATGTTTAAACTCAATTTCAGAGCATTTACACATTATACATACTTGTAGGCTGACACCATGCAATCCAAAGTCTAACAATGTCATCTCCAACATCAACAATGCAGTTGCACTTCGCATACAATGTTTTTTATCCAACATCTCATAAAGACTGTGAGAACGAACCACATATGAAAAAATACGATAAGTATATACAGGGGACTTCGAAGTTGAGTCATTTATTTTAACAGTGAGTAGATCTGATCAAAAGAAATGTTTTTTCCTTTACCATTTTTCTGGTAAAATTAAAGTAACAAAGTTATAGCCCTTTGGAAGTTAGAGTACCGCCCTGTCTCAATAATAATATTATGTGCTCGTGTTTGGCGACAACGGATATAATTCGCCTTATCGGTTCATCGCATCGGAAACAAAAAAGCGAAAGAATTTGGAACGATGTTTTTACAATTATTTCATTCAGTATTTCAGTTGTATACAGTCAGTGTCAGTCGGTAGTGGATAGTGGTGTCTGTTGCGTGGCTCAAACGAAATAAAAAATGGCACATGTTTATGCGGATCGGTTTCCCAATCGAGTGCAACCAACCCCTCGTGCCTTTGTTAATGTAGTACAACGGGTTCGTGAATCATTTGACTTAAGACCTCACATATGGACGGCATGCCGGTGCTCCAAGACCTCACGATCAAATACAGGTCCGCACTGAAATACTTGTCGGGAGGATACTTTATAAAACAAGGTAAATTTTTTTTTTTATTTTTACACACATATTTTGGTTTATCTTCCTTCTACAATCATTATCTGAAAATTAATGACTCAACTTCAAAGTCACCCTGTATATATGAATATGCAATGTTTAAAATTCTGTAACTTACCAGCTTCATCAAGGAACAGCTTTGTTGTAAGCTCTTAGGCAAATATATATAAATACACATCTCATAAAGACTGTGAGAACGAACCACATATGAAAAAATGCGATAAGTATATATATATATATATAAATATGCAATGTTTAAAATTCTGTAACTTACCAGCTTCATCAAGGAACAGCTTTGTTGTAAGCTCTTAGGCAAATATATATAAATACACATCCATTTGCATTAAATTGTTGATTTTAGAACATTAATACCAGATATGGGACTTGAAGATACCACAGCCTGACGAATTTGTTCAATGTAGGAAATTATTATTTAATGATCAATATTATTCGCAATAAAATATCCTTCGGCATTTGATTCATCTGTCAAAAATTTCGTCAAAAAAGAAACATAACCTAACATCACAATTGACTTCTGATTGACAGCAGAACGAAATGTAAATCAGGACATACATGTACCTTATCGAAGAAGACGTAATATTATTGAAATCAAAGAGACCATAAACGCGCCCTACAATTGTAGGAACGACTGACGATACGGGCCTTAGTGATCGGTGCTTTTTCGTCTACAACGGTGTATGGAAAGTTTAAAAAAGAAACCTTTCATAATAATAAAAGAATTTTTTTTTCAGAAAATTTTTTTTAATGATGGAACCATGGCTTTGTAGCTATAGTAACTTTCAATTCTCTAAACTTTTCCGCATGTCAAAGAAAACATTTGTTTATTTAGCAGACATGATAGGAAAAAGTGATGAAAAAAAGATATTAGCAAAACCGCATACAGGTGGACATCATCCAGTGAGTTTATATGGCCATATTTTAATATTCTTGTGGTTTATGGCTGCACAGGATACTTTGTTAAGCATGGGAACTAGATTTCAAGTGTCCCCAACAACAGTAATGATTATAACTAATAAGGTGTTCTACTTTATGCTAAAACTGAAGTCAGCTTGTGTCAAGTTTCCCAAAAATGAAGCTGAAGTACAATAAAAATATTCAATACCCGGCAAAATTGTAACTTGTCACATTTCAAATAATAACCAGAAATATAAAACTACTCCCGAGTTGGGTAAATACCACAATTTTGCGGTGATAACTATGACATATAACAGCTGATTCATGACGTCACGGATCTTATAAGCAAACTGATAACCACACTCGCTTGAACGGATCGGTAAATACCAATCCAAAATGGTAAATACCATTTTCATTTGGTTATTCGTTTGAATTTGATTATTGTATTAGTATATACAAATACATTGAATTAAACAAACTATTTTCTACCAGTTTTCGCTTTTTTAATGAATGGACATACATGTTTTTTGAGAATAATCTGAGTACAAAAGAGTTTCATATAAAGTCTAGTCGAATAAAAATTGAATTACTGCAAAAATGGATAAACGTCATCGTTTCTCAAGTTACTTAAATAAAAAAGTATTTTGATAAAGTATTGTGAAAACGTAGTCTTTGGGAACAATTGTGCTATTACACTGTTAAAGATAATTTTCTATTAATCAACATTGCATTTTTTTTTTATAAAAAGTTCTACAACTTTTTTGAATTTATCTAATGAAAAGAGGGGTACAACAGAATAATCAACATAGCAAAAGGTTGTAATCTTATGATGAAAAATAAGATGCAGCACAATTATAAAAATTATGAATTAGCGATGACAACAGGATGAATAACAAAATGTAACATAAACTCACCCTTCTCCAGCATTGTCCATTTTTTGTAGCTCCAGATCCATTAGTATTCAGACATATCGCTAATTCGTCCCACTTTCTATTAATTGTCTCCTTTGATCTCCCTCCAAGCCCAACACTGTCCTTAGCTAAATTAGGATGAATTTCTGCAAAGACAAGTAGCTTATCAATTCGCAATGTTGAGTCTATGTTCCATTTTAAAAATTTAACACAAACACCTCCTAGTCAGACAAAATCTCAAACACAAATAAACACTATGTTCACGTTTTCTGATGCATATGCGGCCTTTAATGAACAAGCAGTCACCTAGAACTATATAGGTAAGTGCCAGCTAGTGCTGATTGATTTAGAGAAAGATCTGGCACTTGTCAATAAGCTGTTTTCACCCTCGCGTTATTTTGCATCGCTCTTTCTGTCTTGAGATATCTTCAAGGCTAATCTATGTGAAACTGTGTCATCTATTTGTCGACAAATGACTGTGTGTATATATTAATTGTGTATCAAGGGTCCACTCTTGACTTATGTAAACATCCATACATCTGCGGCTCACACATACATTCATTTTTAAGAACAGACCATCGTATTATATACTTACGTGTTCAATTTTCAACAAAACTAGGTCCCATAGTTAATTTTAAATTCACAATCACGATCCACAATGTATTATCATTTTTCGATTGATAAACACGACGATTGTTTATCATCGTATGTCACTTTAATTCCACCGGTTGCTACTCAATTGCTAGTGGCGCTGTTTCGGTCGCAAAAACTGCATTCAATGACAGTTGGGCAACCGGTTGCCGATTGCGTTAGGGGGTTGCCAATTGCGTTAGGGAATACGAGTTTTTCGGTCGCTCGACAACCGGTCGCAAGTCGGTTGGTGATCGGTTGCTCACCGATCAGAGTTGGAAATTTTTACGTAATAAGCCTACGGGTGTCTCCTGGCAAGTTGCTATGATGGAGTACAGTGTTGCCATTTGCATTCCCGATTGTTCTAATAATGAACAAAAAAATCATGTAAAACTGGAACATAGAAAATACTTTTCATATAAGAATATTCATAGGAGGACCCATAAGCAATTTCAAGCAAGTACAGACGATAAACTTCTAAGACGAACATTATATCATTTTCAATAAAATCTATTTAAATACACAATTTACAATTGGGCACTATGCTATAGAAAAATAAAATTAAGACCAAAAGTTCGTGCATATACACAATTGAAAGCACCCACATGAGAAAGAAAGTGCACAAATATGCACATCTCCCACGGGAGCTAAGGGTATTTAGGCCTAGTATAATGCGTTGAGGTTCAAGTATAAAAAGGGATGGAATAATTATAATATTACTGTTGAAAAATGAGAGACTAAGAATAATCAAAAATCAAAAGATAAATATTTATGTTTACTGTTTCTGGTACCATCTTAAAATTAATGAAAGTTTGGGTTTAGATGAAAACGTAGGAGCGAGTTGAATTCATACAAATAACTACAATGTCCAATAGCAGTATATATTTTAGGTATATCATTTCACCCATCTTTTGCGTTTGTGTGCACTTCATTAACTGTATTATTTAAATTCCAAACCTGCAGGAATGTATTCAATGGCCCTGAGCCTATTTAACATTATTAATTTCGGTACAGTTAAATAATAAAAATATACATATAACTCACAGTTTAAAAGTTGTCATATACGGAAGTCTAAAAAGCGAGTGGCTACACAATAAACATAAGTATTCTTATTTGCAAATATCGAAACTAACGGCTCCATTAAAACCAATTTTTAGGTTATGGTCTAGTTCTAATCAACATTAGTCTATCCCTTCTCCGCTGCTGTCTAACCAAATAACATCTTCTGGATTCTGAAAATAAAAACAATTCATGATTTGCGTTGCCGAACTGTGAAGAAAGCGTATTGGTTAGAAACTATTTTTGGTAGGTAAAAATTTGAGAAGGACCGATACAGGATTTTTGCGGATACCGTATTTTGAAGGCCCATCCATGTGTGGACGGAATATTATTCATAAACAAATACATTTTGGTAAAATCTATTTATGAGATGTTATACATGACATTTGAGGCCACATTTCTAAAATATTGGCCAATACACAGGGTGTCCCAATTTTGACCTACATATCAAAGTTGTGATTTTTCAAATGGAATGTGTCAAATTTTATTGCATATTTGGTTAAACCAATTCAATAGAAGAAAACTGATATAACATACTATGGGGTTTTGGTAATTAGCTACTGAGATATAACGTGTTGTGTCTAGAAAAATCCCCTCACTTTGGCAACCCCTCAGTCCGCCATTTTTAAACTTGTGTGTTGTATCAAAAAAAGTTTATAAAAAATTGATTCCAAGCTTGCACAAATATACAGGGTGACGCATTTGAAATTTTTGAGAAAAACTACAATTTGCGTTTTTGACCACCCTTTATGAGCATAATTAAAATTCGAAAAAGTAACAAATAAGATAAAACCTGAGGTAAGTTTTTTTTATACAAAATTCAGCACTCCAAATTTCAAAATGGCGGATTGAGGGGTTGCCGAAGTGGACGGTTTTTCTGGACAAAACACCTCAGTAGCTAATTACCAAAACCCCAGTGTTATATCAATCTTCTTCTTTTGAATTGGTTTATTCAAATATGCAAAAAAATTTAAGGCATTCCATTTAAAAAATTACAACTTTGATAATTATGTAGGTCAAAATTGGGACACCCTGTATAATTGCTAAAATTTTAGAAATGTGACCTCCAATGTCATGTATGACATGCCATAAATAGATTGTCCCAAAATGTATTTGTTTATGAGTAATATTGCGTCCACACATTGATGGGCCACCCCGTACATATATGATGTATGTATATAACTTGAGACGTGGTCATTGTCGTCTAGACCAGTTAGGTGAAAAATAAAGCTTCCGCCTTTAGTTGGGTACTTCGACAAAATTCAAGCAATATTAGTCTCTAGCTTTCAATGGACTTTGCCACCTTCATCAAGAGCTGCAATAGCATTGAGAAGAAATAACAACTATTGTGCAAAATGATTTTAAATTAACTTACAATAGTATGTGAGATGGTTGCTAAATGTTATTAACGTTTAAGTTGAGGGAAACATTTAGCAGCCTGGTGAAAGCTGGATACATGGTACATTCATTAAAATTAATATAAAATACACACAGCCGTGTGTCAGGAACAAAACAAAACGGGTTAAAAATATTAAGAACGAAAGTTAAAGTTACCCTGTGAACCACCTGATGCTGCACAAAATGGTGTGGCACAGGATCATAAGTAGGATGAAACATTTGACAGATGACAGAAGGTTGGTGGTGTCAGTGTCGATTTATGGAACGAACATTTTTGTAAAGTGTGTGCTATGTTGCCAAATCACTAGAGATGGTGTGATTTATCAAGATATGTTAAATAAGAACTTGTCAACAGACCAGAGGCAGTTCAACAAACTATATTGTTGATGATATGGACAATTGAATTAAACAATTATTATTTTATTACGAGAAAAAAAAACAATTATTCAAAATTGAATTGAATGGACATTTTGGAGGGAAAGGGTGGACTAGACCAAAGAACCAGATTCCATTTATGGTTGTGAAAAGTCAACATTTGGAGAGATGTGTAAGTCCTCCAACTTTTCGCAGTTTAGCAAATATGAGTAAATGACGCTCAGTTGCATAACATCTGTCTTCTTATTCATACAGTTGTCATTCATGAAAATGTGGGACATTTCCAAGAATACACGTTTGGATAGGTGTTTTTCTTTATCAAGAACTTTGATACATGTGTAGTTCATAGAGTGCCCTGTTGCATTGACATAAGATGCTAGGCACATCTCTCGGGATGAAGCCTAGAATCACTTTTGTGTGACGAAATCCTTCCTTTTAGAGATCTGGAAGTCTGACCTATGTATATTTGGTTGCAATTATTGCAACTGATGTAAATTGTGATTTGCAAGCAATTCGACAGTTCAACGGGCTACATAGTCTCGATCAGATTAGGGATGAATTCTTTGATATAGGGCAGGACAGCAAAACCAGATCTGGAATTTGGGATGGCGGTTATATTGTTATTGGAATTGGTGTTGTTGTTGGAAATTATATCAGTTCTGTTATTAGGAGTTGTGAGAATATTACTTGGATTATTAGAATTTGGTAAAATAATGGAAGGAGAGCTGAACAAGATCTTGTTAATCGAACACTTCGGATAACCATTGTTGATGAACAGCTTTGATAGCTTCCGTAAATTTTAAGTATGAAAAGTATTATCAGAGATGCTGATTACCCCCTTGTTTTCATCTGCTTCACCAAGTTGATTTTAATCTTTACTTTATGGTATGACCTAACATTGAGGAAACGCCCTGAGGCCATGGGTTTCTGGTACCAGTCTACCAATAAACTCTTATTGTTGGTGCGGATGAGTCTTGTGTCTAGAAAAGGAACAGACAGGTTTCTCATCTTCTTTTTCAATGTTAAATTGGAAGTAGGGGTTATAGCTATTGAAATCTTCGACAATACTATCCAAATGAAACATTTTCACAACTCGTTCCACCAACCTCATCACTAATTACGAGGGATGTCTTTTAAGTTTTGCATCTTAACCTCACTCTTTAGTGAACTTAAATTCAAAGTTTCACAACAATACGTGCAGTGTTCTCACTACAGTGAATTTTTAAGTGTCACCAAGTCATTAGAAAAATGGAACACAACCGAGAACATTTTTGCGCCATAATTTATTACAACATTCAGAGACAATTATCGCTATTATCGCCTTGCTGAGATACTGTCTGTTTTCGTCAACGAAGCGCCACATCAGTCGACAATTTCCCGTTGGTATGAAGAATTCAAACGTGGAGTGAGTCTTAGCGACGATCCCAGGGTGAGTGCACCAAAAACGGCAGTCACCCAGGAAAACGTCGATGCTGTGCGCAAACTCACCATTGAAGATAGACATGTGACATATCGCGAAAATGAGGCGTCCTTGAAGATCTCAAAGACCTTAATTGAAAAAAATTTACATGAAGAATTAGGAGTAAGAAACTCAAGAAATGTGTACAGCATTGCTGGTGGTGATGAATCGTGGATTTACTGTTATGAACCAGAAAATAAACGACAGTGGACTGTTGGTATGTTCCAAGGTGAAGAAAAGCCAACAAAAGCCATCCGTTCTCGAAGTGTTTCGAAAAAGAATGTCGCGACATTTGTGTCAAAATCGGGTCATATTGCAACAATTCCTCTTAATGAGCAACTGTTACTGCGGATTGGTATACCACCATTTGTTTGCCAAAAGTCATCATCGAGCTTCGAAAAATCAACCCCGAAAGAAGAATCATCCTCCACCAAGACAATGCAAGCTCGCACACAGCCCAAAAAACAAGGCAGTATTTAACGGAAGAAAACGTGGAATTATTGGACGATCCTCCATATAGTCCCGATCTAAGTCCTATCGATTTCTTTACTTCCCCGAAAATTAAAAACAGACTGCGTGGTCAAAGGTTCCAGTCACCAGAGGAAGCAGTTGACGCATTCAAAAATGCCGTTTTGGATCTGCCATCCAACGAGTGGAATAAGTGCTTCGAAAATTGGTTCGAGCGCATGCAGATGTATATTAATCTTCGTGGAGAATACTTCGACAAACAATAAAGTCATTTAAAACCGTGTTGTTTTATTTCCATATGTAAAACTTAAAAGACATCCCTCGAATTATCACAGCAACAATCTTAATAAAAAAACATTTCTTTTATCACAACCTTTTAAACAAAACTAGAAAATTTCTAAAACAACATCCTGACCTCATGGTTACAAGATCTGACAAAGGCAATGTTACAGTGAAATGTTAAGACAACACTATTTGGATCTTTGTAACAAACTTATCAATGATGATCCATCATACCACGAAATTAATAGAGATCCTACATCAAAGGTGGAAAAGACAAGTAATGACATTGTTAAGGAACTCCTCGGCACTGGATAAAAAACCCAAGAACAAAAAGGAACTTTGACTACTTATAACTCCGTCCCTCCTAAGTTCTATGCACACTTCCAAAAATACATAAACCTGTACTCTCACTAAGACCTATAGTTGCATCAATAGGTTCAGCCACCCAGGCTTTGTCTTCATTAATATCAGAAACATTAAAATCGGTACATGGTGATAATGATTACTACATCAAAGACTCTGATGTCTGTCGCTAGTTCAACAAGTTGCCAATACCACCTGAACACATTATCGCCAGTCTTGATGTGGTGCCACTATTCAGTAATATCTATCTGGATGTATGTACTAGAACTATAAATAGACACTGAGATGAGATAAGTCAACATTGCAACATATCTCTAGAATCTTTCACCAACATTATAACATTTCTCTTTCATAATAACTACTTCTCTTTCAACAACAAAATATATTCTCAGACACATGGTTCTCCTATGGGATCTGTTTTATCGCTAATTTTGGCAGAATATGTTATGGATGATCTGCTTGATACTGTTATTCCGACAACCTCTTCTTCATAAAAAAATATAGATGACATTATTTTATGCTTTCCCTCCAGAGGTTTAGATAGTATTGACGAAGATTTCAACAGCTATGCCCCCAGATCCAATTTACCATTGAAAAAGAAGGTCAGAATCTGTCTGTCCCTTTTTTAGACACAACACTCATCCGCACCAACAATAATAGTTTATTGGTAGACTGGTACCAGAAACCCATGGCCTCAGGCCGTTTCCTGAATTTTAGGTCATACTATAAACTAAGGATTAATATCAACTTGGTGAAGCAGATGAAAACAAGGGTAATCAGCATCTGTGATAATACTTTCCATACTTCAAATTTACGGAAGCTATCAAAACTGTTCAACTGATCAACAATGGTTAACCGAAGTGTTTGATTAACAAGATCTTGTTCAGCTCTCCTTCCAGTATTTTATCAAATTCTAATAATGCAAGTAATATTCTCACAACGCCTAATAACAGAACTGATATAATTCCGAACAACAACACCAATTCCAATAACAATAAAACCGCCATCACAAATTCCAGATCTGGTTTTGCTGTCCTACCCTAAATGAAAGAACTGACCCCTAAGCTGATCAGACTATGTAGCCCGTTGAACTGTCGAATTGCTTGCAAATCCGTCCTCACTCTAAATTGTATTTTTTCAAAGATGAAAGACAGGGTCCCGTTGCTTGGCTTAACCAACAAAGTTTACTCTATCAATTACAATAATTACAACCAAATATACATAGGTCAGACTTCCAGATCTTTAAAAGGAAGGATTTCATCACACAAAAGTGATTCTAGGCTTCATCCCGAGAGATGTGCTCTGGCATCTCATGTCAGTACAACAGGGCACTCTATGAACTATACAAGTATCAAAGTTCTTGATAAAGAAAAATACCTATCCAAACGTTTCTTCCTGGAAATTGCCCACATTTTAATGAATGACAACTGTATGAATAAGAAGACAGATGTTAAGCAACTGGGCGTCATTTACTCATATTTGCTAAACTGCGAAAAGTTGGAGCACTTACACGTCTCTCCAAATTTTGACTTTTCACAACCATAAATGGAATCTGGTTCTTTGGTCTATTCCACTCTTTCCCTGCAAAATTTACATTCCATTCAAATTTGCATAATTGTTTTTTTTTCTCGTAATAAAATAATAATTGTTTAATTCAATTGTCCATCTCATCAACAATATAGTTTGTTCAACTGCCTCTGGTCTGTTGACAAGTTCTTATTTAACATATCTTGATAAATCACACCATCTGAAGTGATTTGGCAACATAGCACACACTTCACAAACATTTTCGTTCCATCCATCGACACTGACACCACCAACCTTCTGTCATCTGTCAAATGTTAAATCCTACTTATGATCCTGTGCCAGACCATTTTGTGCAGCATCAGGTGGTTCACGATGTAACTTTAACTTTCGTTCTAAATATTTTTAATCCGTTTTGTTTTGTTCCTGACATACAGCTGTGTGTATTTTATATTAATTTTAACGAATGTAACATGTATCCAGCTTTCACCAGGCTGCTAAATGTTTCCCTCAACTTAAACGTTAACAACATTTAGCAACAATCTCACATACTATTGTAAGTTAATTTAAAATCATTTTGCACAATAGTTGCTATTTCTTCTCAATGTTATTGCAGCTCCTGATGAAGATGGCACAGTCCATTGAAAGCTAGAGACTAATAAAGTATAAAGAATCCTCATTGCTTGAATTTTGTACCCAACTAAAGGCGGAAGCTTAATTTTTCACCTATATATATATATATATATATATATAGGTGAAAAACCTATATATATAGGTATATTGTGATATCGGCCCTATCATGGACACTTTTTTAAAAAACACATTCCAAGGAATCCGTGTAGTATGAAACAATAATGCAACTCAACTCGGCAGGGCTATTTACGTAAAAAAACCTATAAAACATCTAAAAAACCGACAAAAGGTCAACTTGCTGCCTAGATAGTTCCTAGTGTGCAAATAGTACATTCGGCGGTTGAGCGCTATGAGCGTTATCAAAAGCGTCCATCTATGATGACTCAACGGCACGACACGCTCAATGACCATGCTGCAAGCTAAAAATCAGTTCCCATCATGCTTTGTTGGTTGCAAAATGTCAAGATAGTATGTATACTCTGAAAAGATGTGTGGATGAATAACCAACCAGCCAAATCAGTGATATTTGCTATGTGAGAAAATTATTACTAAATATGCTGCCCATGAAATATATACTATTAGCTGTGCCAGACGTGTTATTTGTGTTGCCCTTTCTGAAGTAGGTAGGTTACATGTTCAAAGTTATACATTACGATTTTCCCCGTTTTTTTTGCGTTTTTAAAAATTTTGAGAAGTATTACGGGAAATCAGCACCGCACGCGCCTTGTTTGTAATTAAGCCACAGCACAGAAAAATTAGGAATGATGCATCACATACAAAACTTCTCACGCCTGTTTTAATATACGTCACCAACCAGGGACTTTCTTTTCTGACATTTAAATATGTAATTTTCAGGTTGAATAACAAAAAGCGGATGCGAAACTAATTTTTAGCTTTGCATGCATCTCAAGTAAGTGTATCTGAGACAAGAAACCAATGGAATTATCATAAACACAGATTATTCATTAGCACACAAATCCTCACTATGCACCTATGCACTGACGTTTCCTTCCAACTATGGTATTCAGCTTACAGCAATAATGCCATCTGTGAAGCAGATGTTACACCACATTGATCGCTGAAGCATCATGACGTTTAGGCAACACGCACAGCTACAGAACGAGAACACGAAAGTGTACAACAGCTAGTGCTAAGTTGACATGTTGTGGAAAAAAACTACATATCGTCGCAAAAAATCTATATAATGTCAACAAAATCGACATGACACTTTCCGAGATACGAAATACCCCTGCGGAGCTGAACTTATGTATTGAGTAAAATAGCTATAAAGAATCAGATAGCAAATGATGTGTCTAGATTGCTATCAATGACTTTCACCATCTACCTTTTTCCATATATTGGGCGGTCACAGTCATAATATACTAAGTGACATATAAATCCGAACACCCAGTTTAAATGGTTTTATTTTAATAAAAGTTGGTGAATGTATTTATTTTACTGTAAATAACAAGTGAAAAAATTTTCAGCCTTATCAGTTGGACATTCCGGTTTTTATACTGCTTTTTTTTAATTCACTAACGCTCTAAAAATGAATATTTCAGCCGCAGTAAAGAATCAACGTTGGCGGATTTTGGTTCTTGACATCCCTTACGATCGGTTACGATGCCTAGAGTACGGAGACCTGTACGATTTCGTCAACTCAGTGAGTTTGATAGGGGCCGTATAGTGGGACTTCGGGAAGCTGGACTTTCTTTTCGGGCAATTGCAGTTAGAGTGCAAAGAAGTGTAGACACTGTGGTTAGGTGTTGTCAGGCATGGCTTCGAGAAGGCCGTACGCAAAGAGCAAGGGGCACTGGACGCCGCCGTAGAACAACAGACCATGAAGATCGCCGCCTAAGATTATTGGCCTTAAGGGACCGTTTCTCCACTACCAGGTCCATTGCAAATGAATGGTTTGCAGAACACGGAAGACCTATTGGCATGCGAAGTGTTTACCGACGAATGAGAAGTTTTGGCTTGTTTTCATACCGGCCACACTGGGTCCTCCCTTTAACTCGAGAACACCGACCTAATCGCCTTGAGTGGTGCAGACAACGGTCACTCTGGGATCAGGAATGGAACAGTATTGTCTTTAGTGACGAGTCTCGATTTTGTTTAGGCATGCACGATGGTCGTGCCAGGGTTAGAAGGCGACGTGGTGAAAGGAGGAATCCACAGTTTTTTGTTGAAAGACATGTTCATCACACTGTTGGAATTATGGTTCGGGGTGCTATAGCTTATGGTTCCAGGTCACCTTTAATCTTCATCAGAGGTAACATGAACGCGCAGCGTTATATCCACGAAGTTCTAGAACCCCATCTTTTACCCTACCTTGACACCCTGGCAGATCCAACTTTCCAACAAGATAATGCCCGACCACATGTTGCAAGAGTCACAATAGACTTCTTTCAACATAATGATGTCACATTGTTACCATGGCCACCAAGATCTCCCGACTTATCCCCAATTGAGCACGTGTGGGATATGATGGGTAGGAGATTGCTCAATTTGCAACGTCCTCCTCAGACTCTAGAAGCACTTCGAGAGGAGTTGGTGGTTGCCTGGAATGAGATACCACAGGAGGACATTGACCACCTGATCAGAAGCATGCCTAGGCGCGTTGGAGAATGCGTAGCACATCAGGGTGCATCCACACATAAAGGTCAAAGGGCTTTAAAGCAGTGCAATCATTTTGAAATTTTTATCATTTACTTATTAGGCTTCATTAAGTACTTATACAAAATTTTATTAAAATAAAACCATTTAAACTGGGTGTTCGGATTTATATGTCACTTAGTATATAAGTTGCATTTGAACATCTGCATATAGAAAACTCTTCCAACTTCAATTAAGATAGCAGTGATCACAGATTATTGGTGCACTACAAATAATACTTTCTTAACCAACTTCTAGTACCACCTGTGACAACGCCATCTGAAGGAACCGACTCCAACTAAGACACCTTAAGCGATAATTTCTTTACAGGAAACCACAACCACACTCGCTATTATCAGTACGGTGTATTCAATTCTGAATTCTGAACAGAAGGTTTTCACCGTTTTTTTGGAATCTCTGAATGAAGGGAAATGCTTTAGTAAACCTGATTTCGAGAATCTGAAATACGGCATAACATTGCTGTTTGAACTTTATATATTCAACTCTATCTTCCAATATCAGACTTATCACTGTAGCTTCAAACTGGAAGCATTCGTAACAACCACTTTCCAGAGCCCTTTGGTCTCTTGTTCTGTTAAATTAGCTATTGACTACTCATATAGCAGACTCTTTCTAACTCACAATGCACCATCAAAAAATATCTTTTAGTGTTGTGAAACTATAACTTCTCCTCCATTGCACACAATTCTTCTATGCACGAACTAAAACTAGATCCTCTTAATTTCTTATATAAACCTTCTCTGATACTGTTTCACCAGTTTCACACATACAAGACAGCTACAAAACATTGGCATTTCTGTTTTTGGATACACCTGTTGACCTGACATTTTTTGACATTTCTGACACATTACAATCAACAATAACGCTCTTGACATTTCAAACAGTGATATATTTGTAGTCACCGTTCTTGGCGGTTCGTCATCAATGCCATATGAAATAAATTAACAGATCGAGTCTCCGAACCATGGGCGGATCTTGAGCACAGAGGTCGTGATATGTTGTCCTTTACTTCTCATATCGTAGAAAGTATTCCTAATTTCTGTTTTGACGGCATCAATCACATCATCAGTCTTGCATTTTTTGATTTCGTGAGTTTCTCCACGGCAAATCAGACTAATCTTCAGCGCTTCTGCTACTCTCTCCGGTACGCATGAAGTGGGTAACAGGGGGCCGCTGTTTTCATTATCTTCCTGGAAATACTCTAATAAATTTAGCACGAGCTGTCGGCCTTCTCCATTGATCGTGTTTCCGGGCATTGTACAATTTTATATTGAAGACTGATAACAGGACAACCCAAATTGCACACAGATGTCAAGTAAATTGTCACTCAGACAAATATGATTGAAGGGCACTTATTCGTAACGACAAAGATTTCGAGACGGAGACACACAACTGAAAACCGTATGTCTTTGAGCTTACCGAACAAACATTCACACACAGGGGTGGTAGTAGTGGTAGTCTAAATTTGGCCCTCCAAGAACGGTGACTACAACTTTACCACTATGCATTTTCAATGCAGTTAGTTGGAGACACTTTCTTTAGATGGCGCTCAAAGCAGGGTACAAACAAATGTATATTACTTACACCCCCCTAGTAGTAATAGTCTCATGATGGTGGAAATGGATTTGTGATGGTATCTGCGAAGTGACAAAAAAAAAGAAAGTTGGAGTTCACCCGATGCCGATCTCAAAGTACTTACATAAGCGAGCCTATCAAATTCAAGAATATCTACAGAATGTCAGAGCATCTTTGCCTTCATTTTTCTCTTACCAGCAGCGAAAACTTTGAATATCTAAAGGAAAATCCTCCAATTCGAAACTACCACTTGAAACGTAAAACAAGAAAGCATTTTATGAAACCCCTTTTCGCAAAATGAAGCACAATGTACACAGTCCTGAGTGGTCTACTTGGTTTTCTATCTGTTACAAGCAACTTCAGTTTATCCAGTGTGACTAGCATCTTGGTTTGCTTTAAATCCATTAAGTTCAATGCAGTAAGGAAATATTTCGACAAAATGTTAGTCAAATCTCTGACAAAGGCGTTAATGCATTTTGTATCCTATGCAAAAACTAGTACAGAGGTAACATTGAATCCAATGAAAATATACAGTCTTTCCAAAAAGGTCCCTCCGCACTCGACTTATCGAACGGGTCGAGTTATGTCACACTTCACGGATGGAATTTGGGATGATGAAATAATGAATGAATTTATATTATATCAGTACCGGTTGCTCCGCTGTTCGATTTTCGTCCGCCGGCGCGCATGATGTCACACTTAGACTGATTCTAATTTGGGTTGATATGGATAACCTGCATATTTTCACCTACAGGTCAAACAGCTAGACGGATTTTCACATATGAGGTGTTGGATTCGTTTTAGCGGTGCAAGTGACATAAGCTACAATAAAACTTTATACAAAACAAAATGACGGATTTAAATAAAAGATTGTAATTCCTATTTCACATGCTATAGCTTAAACGGCTCCCTAGCTCGACAATAGAGTGTATCGTCACTTTACTGTAAAAACAAGAGAACTTCATTTTTCTACATTACCTATATTTTAGTATGTTCTGTGGAGCAGGATTCACATGCCCATGACGTAAATACTGCATTAAATTTATCCTTATTTCACAGAACATCCTAAGTACATGTAAGTGTGAAAATGTACTCAACTCGAAAAGTAGAAAATGGAGTTATCTTCTTTTTGCAGTAGGCTGGCGGTATAACAATAAATGGAAATGACTTAGTCTAAGCAACAATTTTTCCTCATTTCCTTTTACGACTTTTCTGTACTTTCAAACTTTCATTCAGTTCTTTGATTCGGGAGAACATCCTTGACCTGAAAAACAGTTTTTTTTAACTTTTTCAGCGCAGTAAATGTTGCTGCTCTTCAACAGAAGTTTGCCTATAAAATGTCATTACTCCGTCCCCATTGAATATAGTGATATAGTCCAACACCTTGTTCAGCTTCTCAATTTGATTCATGAAAGCTGTCGAAGGTTTTGATAACCCACCCTCACTAAGATGGTTTATCCAGGAATAAGTTGCATTTGAGGAATTTTTCAACCTCTCATCCTGAAATTTATGGAAAACGCAGCCGGCCAAATTTTCCAGCCCATCACACTTGAGCTCATCTATTTCTTCCACTAAAACTTCCTTTATAGAAAGCAGATACTTCAGGTGCATTCAGTTTATTCGTTAATAATGCGGTTAGTGGAATGTCTGGAAGTATCCTCTGACTCTATGCGCCTTCGTTTCGGACTTGAATGGTCATGAAGACCACATTTTGCCCTAATTACTCCGAAAAAAGGTACGTTTCAAATTGACCTTATAGGCACTTTCACAAAAGTGTTTCGAGCAAACCCTAGCGCTTTTTCCATTGACTTTGTCTTTTCTTTTGTAATTTTAAGATGTAGCCATTTTTTTGGTAAGGTTTGGGCCTTGAGGAAAACTCATGTCTTTGCAAGGATTCCGTTTATATTGGTTTTCCGAATTACATCCCACTGCATTTTTATCAATTTATCAACCCCACACAGGGTATGTAAAGTATGTATAACTAATTCAACAAGTCACAAAACCACCAAAAAACACCAACAAATCGCACTATATAGTAATAACCACGATAGACGTACACTGCAGCAACGTCCTATCTTCAGTGTATGTGTATCGTGATATTATATTTTAGCGAGGTGATAGTTAATAGCCGCCATCTTGGGCAACTTTTTTTAATAGAAAGGGAGTCAAGTCTCTTTCAAAATGGCCAAATGGCGGGCTGTCAAAGTTGAGCGTTATTGTACATTGAATTGCTTAAAACTCAGCAACCTATCATCAAAACGCAAAAGTATATAATATCAATCTTATTTTCTTGGAAGGATCTATGCGGACATGTAATAAAACATCAGATATTTAAAAATTAAAAAATGCCAAGATCTGACAATTTTTTTGAACGGAAGGGACCACATTCAGACACACTCACCAATTCAAATATCCTCATTAACTTTTTCATTTGTATTGTCAGCCTATATAGTAATCGACCGGTTCGTATATCGGCTAATTAATAAAAATATATGTACAATTACAGCTTATTTTTTCAACTAAGTAACTGAAAACTTACCTCTATCGTTTCTGGAAGGCTGACTTTGAATTTCTCCAGTAAAATCTCCCTAGGCGCTGTAGGATCGATAGAAGGAATTCTCAACTCCTTCCTTATAGGAGTATCACCAGCATGCTTAGGTGGAACACTCTTTTCCAACACCTGTTTTGTGATAGTATCTTTCACGTCCTCAACGAATTTCCTATATTTCAACATAAAACGTATATGTACAATTTTGGAAGGATTTTATTATTTAAAATCATCACAGAATCAATTCTGAACTAACTCACCTATACGTATCGTCAAAAGATGATGTAATGTCTATTAGTGTGTCTACTTCTTGTATGGTATCACTGATATGCTGATTTAACACATCTTCTATTTCATTACAAGACTGCAGAATACCGGTTTTTATAACATTATCGATTTCTCCGAATTTCTGCGAATAGTAATAAAGCGTGAGGGATAAATAAGTAGAGTATTTAATACATGCATTGATTAAGGTATTGCCCAAGAAGATCGCCAACCACAGTGCTTCCAATGCTGTGGCTTAACTATATGATTTATTTGGACGCTCACATGATGTCGAGTGGGATTGCAGTAATTCCCTTGAAACTAAAAAAATCCGGCTCCGTTTCCCTTCAACAGAAAACTGTTTATTCTCATACATTGTACTCACCAAAGCAACTTGACTTCGACCCGATTACGACTTGTGGCTGTCGTTGTGAATCTTTAGGTAACGTTCCGTTTGTATCACAAAAAATCATTGATAATAGAATAAGAAATATGTTTCCGCACAAGGTGTTACTTTCCGCATATCATTCATTGCACATTAGAAGTACTGGGAGGACAATAGTTATACGCTTTTCTTTCAGTTAAGGCTTTTAAGAATAAAATTTATATTCTGCATTCTTAGTACTGTAATGCTCTCGTAACTGGGACCTTGAATGGCGACAAGACGTCTTTGTTGTGTCGACGCTAGCCAACCAGAATTACGCACCCATGTAAGGGGCGTGGTCGCATTCTGGAGCGATCGCGACACGTCTGGAGATGAATCTACTGCCATCTAGACGATCGATATCGATCGAGAAGACGCGGAGCGTGCATCTGGAAATCATTGATTGAAGATACCGAACAGATGACGGAAGCAGTCAATCAACGGACAGACGATGAGTCATAGTCGTTGGACGGCGAGCGCGGAATTAAGATGGAATAATACATCAGTACATAGTTACACATTTGTCATAAATTCATAAATTAGTTTCAAGTGTAGTAAATTATTGTAAGACTTATTACTCTTACAAGACAATTTATTAATTAAACTTTAAGCAGTAAGAACGGTGTTTCTGTTTCAGTACATACTTAGACTTTTTTCACAACCTCAAAACAAGTCGAGTTCGGGTTAAAGTCGAGTAGTTTTGGTGAGAACAGTGCCTTAAACATCAACCTTCTACGGAAACGTCACCTCTCAAACCGCCTCGTAATTATTACTACTATTTCGTATTCTCAGAATTTATCAACGAAGTAAAAGGAAATCCCATAAACTGTGGAAACAGTCCGAGAGGTGGCAACGCCAAGGCCTGAATACGACGCGACGTTCGATAGGTATGAATACCCAGTGTCAAAGAAAATAGATCACCCAGTAAAAATGATTTTATTTGAATGAAATTTTGTATATAGTTAGACATAAGCAAGAGGTAGTCGTGATTAAATTTTGAAGTGAAAACATTTACGATATCGATATGGAGCTTCTAAAAGAGCAAAATGGCCGCAAAGTTGGGGTTTTCCTTTACACGACGTGTAGATCTTGAAAACATAAGCAATTTTTCTCAGTACCTTTTACACCAATATCTTAAGTTAACCGAGATAAAGAGCTCTGCAACATCAAAAATATCTGAATACCGTCCTGTAGCCGCGACATCACGGAGTGGTACAATGTCACTGGCTCAACGACAGAACTGGGTCGGGGGTCGGGGTCAGTGTGTCAGGTCAGTATGCAACCTTCAACCGACGGCTACGGTTACGCGAGGTAATCGCGTAGACGAGAATCCCTCAACAAGCACTAGAGACGTGGCTAGAAAAGTGCAAGTATCAAAAACTAAAGTGTGGCAAACGCTGCGTGAAGAGGGGCTGTACCCGTTTCACGTCCAACGTGTACAAGCCCTTCAACCTGACGATTTTCCAGCAAGAGTGCCGTTTTGTAAGTGGTTGTTGCATCAACATGACAATAATCCGGACTTTTTAAAGTGCATATTGGTGACAGACGAATCTACGTTCACGCGTAATGGGGTGAATAACTTTCGCAACACTCATGTTTGGTCAGTAGAAAATCCGCACGCTGTCCGTCGGGCACATTTTCAACAAACATTTTCGGTGAATGTTTGGGCTGGCATGGTGCGTCTGCTCGGTAGCGCATCAGATGATTTCATTTTCTGTTGGAGCGGTATGATTTCGGGCAGAGACGTACTTAGCCCTTCTCGTCAACTGGAGAGCGAGTACTTTTTCTTTTATTTTATTTTTTTACTTGGTCGCCCTCGTTTCTCTACACATTACCTTTGTTATTTCAAGGGTAGTTGTTTCTGAAAAGGAAAACCCCAACTTTGCGGACACCCTGTATATATAATACCAATAAACTTTATCCCAGCAGGTTTGCACCCAATCACAGGAGTATCCAATAATGAACATCAAGTTCTAGATACTCTTGCCTATAAAAGTTCATTTTACAAAATGCATTTAAAACATAGATGAAAGACATTATTACAGGAAATAAAAACATAAACATGGATGGCAGTGAAATTGACACAAAAAAATAAATATTTAAAATTACGGCTCCATTTGGAAAAATAAACATTACTGGTTAAGCACCTCATAATTGATTTTCGATTATAATTTCGGGCAACCGAGTTGATTAGTAACCAGACTATGAAGCACGGTAAGCTTATTTAATTGACGACGGTAAACGATTGTAACAAAATTCATGACAAAGTAACATATTGTGTGGGATGCCTCTTCCAGGATTTATGCCATAAACTTGGAAATTGATGTATTTCAGGCTCTTACACTGGACAGATTCAATAGCTAAAATTGCATTTTGATAAATTCGCGACCAAACCAGTGCAGCATATTCCAGTTTACTAATATAAGATGTATAGATCTCCGATATATCTGCAACATATATAGTTTGGAACGTGTAGACACATACCAGAATTTCTAATCAGAAACACTACAAAATCAGGAAAGAATGACTGACGAAATTGTAGGCATTGAAGCAGCTTACGTTACTTACATTAAGTAGAATCCCAATCATTTGGCAATCTGACAGCATTACATGTGAATAGTTGGAAATGTCAAAAAGAATAGCCGGGCTAGAAAAATATTGCCAGTTTAGAAGCACCATTAGATTTCGGTAATAATATGTTGGACCTCCTTGATGACGTATACATTCGTACAGCCGTCGGAGCTTCGAATCAGCTGTTTTATGTCTTCTTAAGGTGTCTCATCCCAAGCAAGTCGTACTTGATTCTAACGAGCTGCTAAGGTTTGAGGAGAATGAGGTAAAGAGGTCGTTGATCCCATCATATCCCACGCATGTTCAATTGACAAAAATGGTATGAAGATCTAGGAGGCCAAGGAAGGAAATCTATTGCGGTAATCTACTCTAGCTCTAGCAATATTGATACGCTTATCATTTCCTTTCAAAATAGAATTTCAAGCGTTTGGAAAAATGGTAAAATATGAGGTTCTAGTATTTCCTGGATGAAACGTTGCGCCGTCATACCTCTTCTAATGGAAGGTAGAGGTGACTTACCACCATATGTAGTGGCATAGTATGGTGAAAGTAACGTTCGGCTGAGAGACAGCTCCTGACTCGTGCCCGTCCATCATGTATCTCTAAAACAGAATTGAGGCCGAGAAAAGTGAGATGACGAATGGTATAACTTATTTTTTAGTGATGATCTCGGTTCCGATTATAATACCTCATAGACGGACACATCGCGGAGTAAGACGCAACATAAAGTTTTCATTGAACGTCACGTACTATAGCAGTTATTGTTTAGGACACCATTAAATATGGTGCTAAGTCGCTTATTGTTAGTTTCTGTTAGATGATCTATAACTGCGCAACAGTATATCCAGGATGGACTAGAACCCCATTTTTTGTCTTTCTCTCAAACACTCGCAAAACTGTATTTTTTAACAAGATAATGCCCATCCCTATATCCGTACATTTACAATGGACTACCTCAATAACGCTCAATTCAGCTGCCTTCCCTGGCCTGCTAGACCTCGAGACCTTGAACCCATTGAACTTGTGTGGGATACAATGGGAAGATAATTGTCCTCTTTATTTCATCCTCTACAAACTCTTAACAGCTTTTTGGAAGCAAGTAGATATGCATGTATATGTACAACACATTTTCAGATTGAATTATTTGACAGGGAGAAAAGTGAGTCTCATCATACCTCTGACGACTGGACTGGATATGGCATTGGGGTCGCCCAACACATGGAAATCCAGCAATACAGTCAGTAGTAGTCAGCATGAGTGGTGTGCGGACGTGTTCCGTGTGCACGGATAATTTTATAGTAAACAGTAAACAAGTTCAGTGTAAGTTATCTGAAATGTTTTTCCACAATGAGTGTGTTAAAGTAAAAGATAATGTCAGTAAGTGTATTGACGATTGTATGAATTTGTTTTGGTTCTGTAATGACTGTAGTAATAATGCTATACAAAACCTAAAAATATCGAGGAGATTGGACAGTCTTGAACAAAAAACCAACGATGTGTTGGAACAAACCAAGGAGTGTTTGGGCGTCGTTAAGACATTATACTATAGAGCACCCAATGCCAGCGTGCAGAAGTGGAGTGACGTAGTAAAAGCCAAACGACCGCCTTTGATAATGAAACCAAAAAATTCGTCACAAAACAGCGTGAAAACCAAGTTAGATGTGACCAACAAAGTCGATCCATCCCAAATAAACATAGCCGGAGTCAGAAATACGGCTAACGGTGGAATTCAGATAGAATGTGAAAACGACGAGTCGATGCAAAAACTACACGAGGCTGCCCGGAACGCGCTAGCAGACCGGTACGAGAGTCAGATACCAGAGTTTAAAAAAACAAAAATTGTTACTGTTGGTGTTTATAATAAATACCTGAGGGAGATTGATATATTTATAAACAAATTGAAAGACATGTGTGGTACAAGCGAAATAACGTTTGTTAGGAAATATAAGCCTCGTAGGAAGGAACATTTTAATGTGCTATTGGAGGTATCAAATGAGGCATTTAATTACTTTATTGCTCAAAAGAAATTACGCTTTGGATGGGATAGTTTTCTATTGTATGAATTTGTTAGCGTTTTAAGATGTTTTAAACCACACCACAGTTAAGTGATGGTCTGTCAAGCTTCAACACTATAAGCATTGATCAACTTA